TTGGCGCCAGCCCAACTGGCGACACTTCTTACCTCTGAAGTGGGAGGCGCTCCGCTGGCCACAACTGGTGTTGCCATTGGTCCCCCTGCGGGCTGGTCTTCTGAAGTGGCAACCGAGAGTGCAAGCCAGGTCTCGCGGCAAGGCCTAACACGGTAGACGTGCCAATGCCACGTGGTCCCGTTGAACATGCGGACGAGCAGCGATGAGGCACTGGCAGGAGAGACCATGCGTCTGGCGGACCAGGGTGGGCCGGGATGGAAGTTCCTGGTGAAGACCAAAGCTCCCGTGCTTCAGGAGTGTTGTGAACCGGAGGTCCGGATGCGAGACATCCAAGGGTGCCTTGACCATCCGGCCCAACAGGATCTCACAGGGGGCACGGCCATCGACGTTGTGGGGCGTGGTACGGTACTGGGACAGTACCCGGGCCACTTGCGTCTGGAAATCCTCGGGTTGGCTCTTCTTGAGTTTCTCCTTGATGGCTTGCACCACCCACTTGGCTGAACCATTGGAAACAGGCTGTTCTTCAACAGCCAGGCCAGGTACTCGGGCCCAATGAAAGTGGGACCATTGTCATACACAATAACTTCCGGCAACCCCTGGGCTGCGAAGACCTACCGCAGCGCCGCAATGGTCACGCCTGCTAATGGAGTGGTGACTGGTAAGACCTCCACCCACATTGAGAAGGTGTCCACCACCACCAGGAAGTAGTGGCCCTTGAAGGGGCCCTTAAAATCCACATGCAGGCAAAACCAGGGCCTCTGCAGGAACGGCCAGGGGGTGATCTCCACATGACGTGAGGCTCATGAGTGCTCCTGGCAGACTTGGCAGCTCTGCATCATGTGAGAGATGCCCTGGTTCAGGCCAGGCCACCATCTTGAACTTTTCCATGCCAGGGTGGCTCACGTGCAGCAACTGCAGGACCCTCGACCGGAGATTCTGTGGGATAACCACCCTGGAACCCCACAGTAGGCAGCCCTGCTCCGAGCCCAGCTTGGTGGCCTTGTGGCTGTAGGCCTGCTGTTGAAACTGCTCTCCTCGGGATGCCGATTTGGCCACCTGGGACAGGACCGGGTCCCGGCTGGTCGCCTGCAACACCGCAGCCCTGGAGAATACCCCTGGGTAGGCCTGCTCCAGCATGAAGACCTCAGCTGGCTCTGGAACAGCAGCAGGCACCTCCGGCAGGGCCAGGCAGCTCAGGGCATCAGCAGGTCCCAGGTTCTACCCAGGGCGGTAGACAAGCTGGTAGCTGTAGGCCGCCAGCTCCAAGGCCCAGCGTACCACTCGAGGAAAGGCTTGCACTGGAACCGCCTCGTGAGGCCCCAGCAACAGCTTTTGGTCCATGACAGCCTCAAATTTCCGACCCCTTAGATACTGGTGGAAGTGCTCGACATTGAACATGAGGGCCAGGCTTTCCTTGTCCAGTTCGCTATAGTGTGGCTCTGCAGCATGAAGCCGACAAGAAGCAAATGCCACAGGGCGTTCCTGACCATCCTGGGCACAGTGTGGCAGGATGGCAAGTAGTCCCCGTCGTCGGTGCCGGTAACCAGTTCGTCATCCAAGTTGAGCAGGAGACTGAAGACGCGGGTCCCGCAGGTGGTCGTGAAAATGTCTCGCTGCTTCTCTGCGGGCATGTTGTTTGCCCGTAAGATAACTTAGTCTTGTTCCTCATAGACTGGCCAGGCGGACCCATCTTCTTGAAATGGTTCAAGCCTTCCGTAGAGTGGCATGGCGGCAGAAACAAGGGTGGTGTGCCGCCTCTTTCAGCAGCGTGGGCAAATGCGTGGGCGATACTCATCACCAGTGCCAGTGTGACAAACATGTGGTGCTCCCCCTACCCTGAGCCCAAGCTTTGTAAGCCCGCCAGGCTCGGCAAGCAACAGTTATCATCCGCATCAAATAAACACCGATGAGCACAGCTGCTCGCAGTCAGTCATCGGGTCGTCCTTTCTCTCGGCGGGTGCCGCAACACCCTTGTCCGCAATCCCGGGCGATCGTGAGACTGGCGACGAAGATGGGCTTGGTGCTAATCTTCTTTTAAGTTATCCTCGCCACACCTAGTCCAATTATTGCACCCTTTCACAGGTTACATTAGAAAATCGTAGCGTAAATAGCACGCACGCAACACTCAACAGTGCAAAAAGATACTTAGTCAATGTCTTTACAGATAACAAAAAAATATTTAAAAAAATTATTCTGACAATTTAGATTGCTCATTTTAACCCCATGCTTATTTTTATTCATTTTTTTTATTTTGTTAGAGTGAGACTGAATGCCGAATTTGATTGTACACGAGACCTGCAAGGTATTTTTTCTTGATTCTTGATACTTCGCGTCGAGAAGGTTGCTAGTTTGTGGAGGACAAAGTCAGCCTAACATCTCAGGATTATAGCTTGCAAGCTCATACTTTGAAAAAAATAAAATAAAGACTAATTGAAGCAGGTATAAAACGTAACTGACACAATAAGGCCTACGGTATCAACTGCATGTCAACAAAAGCCGAGTGACCGATTAATCTGACAGCTAAAATACCCCCTTCAATTTGTAACGGGAAGCACCACTTGCTAACGCCGTGTGCATCTAAGTAATTGCGTTGTGTGCATCTTTATTCAACCCGAAGTTAGTCGATCTCAATGGGCTCTCAGCTGTAGATGAGAAATTTAGCCAGTGCAATACAATCGCTAGCCTGGGTATGTTGTAGTGATACACTGTCAGGTAGCCGTGCAACATTCGTCATTTCCGTAAATTTTCTTTTTTTTCACACTTTTTTTTTTGTTTGAAAAATTTTTGACAGTGCTAGTAACGCCTATTCCTCATAGATAATATGTATATATTTGACCTTGCAAATATTGAGAAACCTTCGCTCTAGGGAAATGCAGTTCCTCAAGTCACCTCATAGATAGCGGCAGCGAACTTCGTCGTAAGCAAACGTAAGTGTGTGAACGGTCCTTTATACTAAAGGCTCGACGTCAAGCGTCGAGTGCGAGTTCCATCTTGAGCAAAAAAACAGCATCGATTAAAGGGGCTGGTCCAAGATTGTCAGTCCAATGAGGGGACTAAACGAGCTGCGTACAGACCATCGACTAAACCAATCACGCTCAGAAAAAAAGTGCAGCACCACGAGGCATTCACAGTGCACGACTGGTTTTGCCAGTAATCGAAAACACAGAGGCAACAACTGCGGTGACAATGCACTTTTGCCACTCCTTAATTGGTTCAATCAGACGGATCGTCTGCTGAGATCCACTGAAACGGAGTCAGCGCGTGGCATGGCGAAAAATACAATTGTTTGTTTTTGGCGGGGAGGGGCAATGCATAACGACAAATTTAGCGCTGCCTTTTTCTTTTGCGTTGAAAATTAGTGGCTTTTGTTTAGATGTGTCACAAACACCCATTTTATAGGACAATCGTTGTAGGTTCCTAAACCTAAATCTAACACAATGCTAATACAAAAAAAAAAGAAGAAAAAAGTACAGTGCAAAGAGAGGGATTTAATAATGTCGTCCAACAACCAACTAGCCCAACAATCCACCCATGTCTCGGGGGCTTGGTATCGCACACCCCTAATAAAAATTAGCGGTGTGCGATACCGGTTCGAATTGAATAGCCCTGCTTCATTCATAACCTTCACAATAAGAAAACAAAAACAAAACTTTTTTTTTTTAGGGTGCTAAAGTTAGGGATGACACTTGCATTATTAGATTCAAACCGGTATTTGTACCTCTAAAACAAACTACTCCCGCAAAACAGATCTGGACAAAAAAAATAATAATAACAGAGAAGGTAACTGACATGTCGTTTAGGCATCTCTCAATCATTGAAAAACTTCATGCAGCTGGCAGTAGAAACTGGAAATCTCAATATTTCAATCAGTGAACTTGGAAGGCCGATGAACTCGAGTTCTAACTGAACAGGAAAGCCGTGGAAAGTCGATCTCAGTATCTAGTATCTCTGCCCTGCCCTGATATGGCAGCATCGCATGACCATAGCCCAGTGCCGTACACCAATCTGGGTCAAGCTTCAAAGCCGCGTTGAAATAGATAACCCATGTAGTTACCCCCCCCCCCCCCCCCGAAACAAAAATAAATAAAAAGGCTACGCAATAGGTTTTGGGGTGACTCGCGTTGAGTCACGAGTGGTAGTCATATCTACGTACTACATTGTGTTAACTGCCTATCGTCCTTTTTTTTTTTCTCTCTTTTTTTTTTAAGTTATGGTTATTGCAGTTTACTCCGTGCACGAACCCTCCAAGCTGGTGGTGCCGAAACTCCAGGAAATGTGCACCATGCTGGTGCAACAGTGCTACTGAAGCGCCCGACCTCAGTCCACAATAAAATATTTCAATTACACGAAGTCGTGTATCAGTCTTTCCTTCCTCGCGACCTCGCGCCGCACTGCTGACTAGGTATCGACGAAGCAAGCTTTGTCGCCAATTCATCGATAAAACGAAAGGAGAGGTATCTCACCAAGCACGTTCCGCCTACGTGATCGCTCAAACAACGCCCGGCATCCAGTCAGTAATCTCGAAAAACTTCGCGGGGGGAAGCACCCCGGTGACGCAAGACTATGACGTCATATTACGCAAGCAGGCAGTGACCTTCTGTTGCTTCTGTCACGGAGACGCGTTTACCGAAAATAGTTCTAATACAGAGAAATTATTAAGGAGAAGGATGCAAACCTGACTATTCGGAATCAAACAGCATCATACAGCAATCACAGTCGTCTTTGAAGAAGTTTTCCACGCTTGAAACACTAAAATAGCTAGAAAAGAAAAAGGCGCCCGCTACAGCGCCGCGACCGGCCAAGCCGGCGCCGAACCGCTTCACTCAACCGGAAACGGGTCCGAACTTATAAGATAGTTCTCCCATATGAACTTAGTCAGTGGAATAAGTAGGTCAAAAAATGCAAAGCTGAGTAATATATGAAGATAAAACGTGCTTTTCTTATCGATTGATAATATAATATTTTTTTGTCTAAGCGTTTATCTGAAATCCCGGGTTCCGGTTAGGCTTGGCGGAGGAATACAGGGTCCTGAAGAGCGGCCGGTTTTTCCTTTCGTGTCGCACTAATTGCATGCGAACATGTCCTATTCCCACGACGAAAGGTAAGCTCCGTTTAAGCTATTTTTAACTCGCAAAAATTGTACGAAATTGTGCGGAAAAGATGCGTGAATGTGGTCCGAAGATCGCCGGCTTCACGGAAAGACGTTTCACTCCCCGCCGTTCGCTTCATTTGCGAAATTTTCGGGCCCATGCGATGACACGGCCATCATGGCGATTGGATTTGGCTTTGTGGATAACACGTGCCCCTCCATATGCCCGGTTTCTAGCGCTTACCCGGTCGTCTCGCTGCTTCGCTTCAAAACGACACGCCGAAAGAATCGTTTTCGCCCTGATTAAATCGCAGGTGCTGCCTATCTTGCGGAACACGTCGACTGGCCTGCCCCAAACTTTCCAGTGGTTTGAATGGGCGCTAACCTTGCCACTCATTTTAACGACTCTCCGAGCTCAGATTAGCCTACCTTGTGCCTTTTGCCGACGCCGCGAACAGTTCGAAATGTAACTGTATCTCGTAGAACTTGTCCTGAGAAATCTCGGCGCAACTACGTCGCGTACTGCGCCCGGTTTCGCCGTTAGGCCTAGTTAGGCCTCGTGGCGTGTCATCGCTTTCTCGGGAAATCCGTTCACGACCCTGTGGTTTGCCGGCTTCGGGTCTGCTGACTGCTGTGAACACTGCCGGCCCAAGCAGTAGCCAAGTCTCGTCATACTCCTACAAAATGAAATCGGCTAGTCGGTGCCGCAGTTACTGAAATCGCCTGGCGCCCTTTGCGTTTTGTTTTTGTGCTTGTGTCGAAATTCTGGAGGCGGCGGCGGCAACGCCGGTAATGTCGGATTTTTTATTTTATTTTTTTTTTCTGGTTGAACATTGTCGTGAGAAAGGCAGACTCCTTTGTCGTTGTTTTTTGTCGTACATTGAAGAATGATTTCCATAATCTTTCGTTTACCTTTCCGGGAACTTGGGTTAGTCGGCACAGTGTTGAAGCCGCAACTTTGTGAACGTTAGAGATAGTGCCCGATGGTTGTCGTCCCATTAAAAGCACCGAGACTGTAGCTTTGCAAGGCGAACGCAGTGACAGTTCTCGGTCGTCGCTGGGACGGACAGAATTGTCACCGGTTTTGGGTGAGGCTCCGGGGTTGAATCACTATCCCCGGGGTCTCAATGACCTGTGCTACATGAACGCCCCCATATTTCCGTGAAATATAAAAATATTCTCGTTTCATTTTTGGCATTCTTTGATCATGACGGTGTCTAACGCCCATTTCTCTTATCGTGAAACTTGTGCACTTTCCAATGCACCATCCATGCCTAAGCTGACAAGGCGGTAGGAGCTAAATGCTCATTGGACCAATCAACCACCTCCCTTTTATGGTCCGAATGATCTCGCTCTCTGCGTGCAAGTATGAGTGGGAAGCTGGTGAAAGATCAGCGTCTGTCTGATCAAATGTGTGCATAGCTTCCATTGCCCTGTGAACTTGGTGGTGAATGGAACGTAGCAGTGTGGAGGAAGTAATTGTGGGATCCGAAATTTGGCTGAGCAGGTTCTGCCGTCACCAAACTGCTGCCACTAAGGGAGGGTGTTGACGAGTCTCTTTCTCCTCAGAAATGGGCCGACTGACTGGGAGTCTGCTGACGGGAAACGTGCAGAGCAGCAGGAGTATGACGGCCCCGCTGGAATGGAGCCGGACGGCATCATTGAGGTGAGTTCGAGATTCGACTGTGAAAGGAAGTGGTAATGCCTTCTTGGCGCGGTGTTCATGGAAATGTGAGGTGATATGTACAGTCCAGGACAAAAGTCTCCAGGACACACGAGCTGCGACTGAAACGCATTGCTCTGCCATCTGCCGGCGGGTCGCCTGGTTTCGAGATCACAGAAAAGAGTGTGCGCGTCCTACTGTGCCTACCAACATCTGCACTTTCCCGCTCTTCTGCGGCGCTGCGCCTAACTCGTAATCGGGCGCGTGGTACCGCCTCGGATATAGCGCTTAGTGACATGGCACCTATAGCTCGACTGAGCGATAACCTGAACTGGTTATAAAGCAAGGTGCGCTGAAACGGCGAAATGCGGCGCAATGCCCCAGGCGGTATCTCGAGTTTCAGAATGTGTAGCAGACGCTCGTCAGCCGCCGGCGCTATCTCCAAGGGGGTACCACGCGCCCGATTCCGAGTTAGGCGCTGTGCCGTAGAACGGGAAAACACACGTTTGCAGGCAGAGTAGGACGCGCATGCGCTTTTGTGTGATCTCGAAACCAGGCGACCCGCCGGCAGATGGCAGAGCAATGCGTTTCAGCCGCAGCTCGCACGTCCTGGGGACTTTTGTCCCCGACTGTACAAGACCACATTCAGAGAGGCTCTATGGCTAGCCCTTCTTTCGTGTTGAGTGCCAGTTTTGTAGCAGGTTATGGTAACTTCTAAAAATGCCGCCTTGGTGGTCCTAGTGTGGTTCAAAGCTGATACGTGAGAGACCACATAGAGAATGTCTAAAAGACTAGTTTCCTTTTTAGCGTTGCACCAGACATCTCTCAAAGGTCTCCAAGAGTGCTGCTCGTTGGATTGGTTCAAAAGGTGGTTAAAGGAAGCAGCCGTTGCCGACAGCTTTCCGAGGTCGTTCCGTGCTCTAAATTCGTTATTATAAATCCTGTGGTTATGGCGCCGCTCTTTTTAGTTGTCTTGACAATGCTACACTAGAGGGCACATACAGTCAGCGTTGGCCATACTATTTGAGCAGGCACTGGGGAAGTGTTCAACGTGGTCTGGTCTAGAAAAAAAAAAAAATTGTGTGTACAGCCAGAAGTTAGTCTACCTCAGTGGGCGTCTGGTGTCTCAGCTGTAGATGAGTGATTTAGCCAGTGTGGTACGACCACTAGTCTGGGGTCTTTAACGTGCACCACGCAGTAGTGATACACGACAGCACGCTGGCACGATGCTCATCCAGATCGAAACTGGCAGGGGTGGGGATTGAACCGAGGTTCCTAGGTTCTGCAGCGCAAGCTTTCATTCCACGTGCTCCGAGCTGGTGTGCACTAGACCACTTGGCCACCGATCCCCCTCACAAGGTGTGAATTGTCTTATTCATCCGTGTTTCTTGGCTGGAATTTGACTGGGCTGTATCGAAGACGCGCATAACAGCAGACATTTAGGTGCCTTCAATTAAATATTTCACACTGGTTGTGGAAAAACCAGGGGGAGATGCGTGTCTTCTGTACAAAGCAGTGCAAGCGTAATGACTTTCACATAAATTCTATTCTGCTAAGTACTTGAAATGGGGAAAAATAAATTGTGGTTTGTCCAGGAAAGGTAGTCATTTTTGCATTGCTTCGTGGAGGTTTGATCTAGTGTCCGAAGGATGCTGTCCCATTAAAAGCACCGAGACTGTAGCTTTGCTAGACGAACGCAGTGACAGTTCTCGGTCGTCGCTGGGACGGACAGTATGGCCACTGGTTTTGGGTGAGGCTCCGGGGCTGAATCCTTTCCCCGGGGTCTCAATGACCTGTGCGACAGGAGATTGTGAAGCTTCCTGCGTGTGCTTCTGTCTGGTGCGGCACGTGTGTAACGCTTTCCGTGTTTGATTGCAGAGCAACTGGGAAGAGATCATCGACAACTTCGATGACATGAGCCTCCGAGAAGAGCTCCTCCGAGGCATCTACGCCTATGGTTTCGAGAAGCCATCTGCCATCCAGCAGAGGGCCATCATCCCATGCATCAAGGGTGGGTCCCTCCCTTCCTTCAGGTCATGCTCGGTCCGTTTTGTCAGAGACGATGCCGCAAGCTTTTTTTCCAACCTGATGTTTGCTATGGGATGAAACCAAGGGGTTCGAAATGTTTCAAGAAGTTTATAACTTTAAAACTGGTTACATTAAAATGATAAAAAAAACAAAAAAATCTGCACCGACTTTAGTACAAGATAAACAATTTAATCAAACGTTTTGTCTCCCATGCGGGAAACATCATATTCAACTATTTTCAAAATTCTGAATTTGTCGTGCTAAGAAATCGGGAAGCTTTCAGATTTATAAAGTTCAAAACTTTACCCCTCTAAGAGGTAAGAAATATAAGTACAAGAAAGATACGATCGGCCAATCCTAAATATTTGGGCCGCTTTGGGCAGTCCTTGGGCAAGTTGAGGTCGCTTCCGTGCTCCTTAACCTGGAGTTGTGTCCGTTGCTGTGTATGTATCTCTGTGTCCAGTATCTTCTCCATCCCGCGCGCCATTCCACCGGAAATAGACGACCAGAACTAAAGGTTTTTGGAAAACCTGCTGCCGCCTTCATGTGTGGCGTCGTCTTGTATAGATTGTTGTTTCATGAAAGCATTGCATTTAGGCGGTGTTTAAGTAAAAAGCAACACCGAACTGCCTCCAAGCTTTTCATTGTACCATTCAAGCAGTTCAACCCTCGTTTCATACAGTACGATAAACTAGTAACAGGTAGTGTCATAAGTACCACAGTACTGAGAAGAGAGGAGTCAAATTTTTAGAACTGGTAACTGAGCAAATTTTGAAGTTCGAACTTGATCTATAAAGAAATTCTAAATCTTTGAATGATCACTTTTAGATTTCTTGACATCTTTGAACTTTTGAAATTTGAACATTAAAGCGGTTTCAGAAATTTTAGACCTTTTTGAATTCAAATGTCGGTATTCTTGTGGCATCCCCTGATGTTGGTTGGCCAGCCAGAAGAGATAAGTAGCTGTTGCGTGTTCCATGCAATGGCTTCGGGGTGTTCGGCTGCGTTCTTGCTGAACCTATAGGTGCCAGTTGTGGTGTAGAAAATGGCAACGTTGTGGTTTTTTTTTTTTTTTTATCAGGGTGGTAGTTTCTCTGTCTTTATGCATTGGCAGTGTGACATCAGGGTGTCTAGCGACTGGGAAAACTGGGAATTGTCAAAGAAATTTTAATTACCTGGGAAAATCAGGGATATTGTCAAAAAGTGAGCCCCGTAAGGGAAAATGAGCCGGAAACGCCATTGAGTTCCCTGAGCAAAGACTCGACAACTTGGGGGCAGAAAAATGGGCAATAAAGTCTGCTTAGACCGGGGCGTGGGCTCTGCTCACCCGATGTAGAGTATGCTACCCGATGCAAAGGGAAGAGCCGACAAATCCAGTCCAAGCCTTGGATCGAGGGCGCGACACTAGGCTGGGTTCAGGTAGAGGTACTAGATTTAGTAACAAATGGGAAAGTGGCAGATTGTAATTTAATCCAAAACCTTAAGCCGAAAGTGTGCATGGGGCGGCCATGTTGCCATTCGGTTATTAACGTGTGTGGTTGAGCGTCGTGTTTTCATTTTGTTTCCAAAAGTGGCCTTTTCGCTGACGATGGAAAAAAAGAAAAGAAAGTGCTTGTTTCTCTGTGGTGGACGAACCCGAATATTTCGGAATATGCAGGTTGGATAAAGCCCGTGCAAAATTATCCTTACAGTACTTGATGCCTTGTGTTGTAACGGTCTTGTATACTTAACCGCCTCTAGAGTAAAGGAATTTCACCTGAAATTGTCAGGGAAAACCTGGAAAAGTGGGGAAATTTCAAAATAATAATTTGCTGGGCACCGTGGAGATGCAAGAAAGTGGGGCAGTGAAATGTAGAGGGAGCAAGCTGCTGGTATGAAGGCTCACAATGGTGCTTGGTACTTAGCGGGGAAAGCAGCTTCCACTAATAGCCAGGCAGTGCTCGTTTGAATGGCCTGCCTGGTAGCAAAGGATGCCAAACCAAAATCCCATCTGAGTGCATGGTACGGCAAGGCTCCTTCCAGTCTGTTCGTCGGCCTCAAGATGGACATACGGGGGCTGTGCTCCAAATCTTAAGGCCCATTCACACTTGCGACTTAGGACAGTCGCTGGAGCGACTAGTGACCACCAGTGTTCACACCTGATTGAGCAACCGACGAGTCGCCAAGCTCGCAATGGATAATAATCGACACCTTCCCGAGCCGGCTGAACGGTCTTTCTGATCAAAGGCACTGGCAGGAAAAAACAAAAACAACTTTATGGTGCTTGGGTATGTAAAACAGCGGCTATATGTGTGCTCCCTCAACCGTGATATTGTATGTACCTGCCATGCCGAAAATGTCGCCGATGTCATTCCAGGCCTGCAGCTTTTTGTCCCGATCCTTGTGGGCGGGGTGCCGCTTATTGTAAAGAAACGGATAGTCTTTGAGAGCATTAATAAGAGCTTCCGCGGAGAACTCCATGCCAAATACTGCCACCGTGCGCGCATCACTATTTCCCGCAGGAAGCAATGCCGGATGTAAACAAACGCACGCATAACTTCCGACGAACTGATTGGCTCCGCTGTCCAGCGACTCGTTTTTGTGACTTGAGAAATCGGTGAGGGGGCGACTGCCCAAAATCGGTCGCTACTGACCAGTTTTGGTCGCTCCGTGACTAAAAACCAGTCGCTCCAGTGACTGTCGCAAGTGTGAACGGGCCTTTATAGTGTATTCCATTGGTGGATCCGAAGCGCTTTCCAAAACCTTTGAGAGAGGCAAAATTCCGCTCCTTGGGGCCTGTTCCAAATCAATGAGCAGTAGATGGACTTGCATTTTTGGAGTGACCCGCCCGAAACAGTGGGCCGTTCAAAATAGCCGCTGCTCGGGCTTGACAAGCCGACCAATGCCTCAGCTGACTGAGCTTTTGGATGGCCAGTCACAACTGTCGCCGTTTAGCTGCAAAAATAACACTTGGTACAGGTTGGGTGAACATACTTGTACCACGAAGCCCATGTCACAAAAAACGAGTTAGACGTCTGCGTTTGCCACCCTCGCATACCTTTCAACCGCCTCGGAGCAGCGGGACATGCACAGTGATCGCCATAGGTGGAGTTTTGTTGGCTGTTAAGACTTCAGGAAACACAAAGTGGTAACAAAGCATCACTTGCACGGTCATTGCCTGGTCTGTTCTTGTTTTAATGGGTGAGAAAACGCCTGCACTGCGAAGTTATGAAGGTAAGCAATCAGTGGCGGCAAAATGAACAGGCCTGACCTTGTGTCTGCCTTCTTCGGATTTTGTCTCCTTTTTTTCGTTCTTCCTCTCACGACCACAGTAGGCGCTTACCATTTGCCACGCTCCAGTCCCGGCTTTGCATCTGTGATCTGTGCGAGGCAGGAGCGTTCGAGTCGTCACTATCCCGCGTAAACAACCGAAACATCCAGAGAGGTCCAACTTGACGAGCCGAATGGTCCGGCAACCTCGTACCACTGAGTTAAAGGGAATGACGTAGCGCACTTCTGTCAACTTTCGCTTAGCTACCTGAAATCTACGGATCAAGTTCGGCGGGATTGGAGACGCTCCACGGGGCGGGTGCTGCCACAAATCTATGAGTGAAAGATGACCAACTTGAGCCGGATCTGCCAGTGGAAGAGGCTCGCTCCAGAGGGGGTGCTTTTGGAGCGCTCAAAATCTACGAACAGAATTCACCATTACTCGACTAGATCCAAGTTACCCCCATGGGTCATATCGTGTGGTAATGCAGAGCGATGCTGGATGCAAACGGGCTTTTAAATGCCTTTATATAAAACCTTTACTCTGGAGTACAGTGATGATTGCTGCGCCAATTGCGCTACACTGCGCCAAGGGGCTAACCCTGCTACATCCTGCTACATTGTGGCAAAATATGGGTAATCTGCGCCAAGCCTGGGCCACAAACCAATTTTGGTCATCTTTCAAAACAGAGTACCGTAATTGAGCATCCGTGTGTTATGTGGCGCAAGCGGCCGCCCAACGCAAAGTACCCTGCATCAATCGTCCATCCGGTCTTCCATGGTTTACCCGCCGTCGCGCGCGCTCGTAGTCTCGTCTCTCATCTTTTTTCTTTTTTTTTTTTCTTATATATTTTCAACGATAGAAGTGGGTGTATGTGGATGCTCTGTTGCTAGCGTGCCGGGTACGAGCCACGCCACTTTGCTGTGAAACAAAACCATGTTCACTCGCTCCTGAAAGTAACGACCGACCTTGGGGAAACTATATTTGGTCCCTGCCTTCCAGTCACCGTGGTCGTCCGACGTCGGGTGTTGCCTTCCCCATTGCACAAAGTGCTCCAAGAACTTTTTGACTCTGGCTTGCAATGTCTTGCATTGATGGGCTGAAGTTCTTTCTTTTTTTTGTGTGTTTAGCTCATACCTTGTTTACTGGCTTGGCAAGCACGCGCCGCTGGACCGTTCTTTGTCGTATGCTCGACAGTTACATTTTGCATACAATTTTGAGAATCAGTTGGCGACGGAGCGGAGTGGCATGGCTTCGGTTTCAATCGAACAGCCGTTGTCTCCGCTTGCATGACAAAGCACGCACAACTGCTAGCTTGCCAAGGTTTCCCTCACATTCATGTGAACACGATTGCACGACAAGCACCAGCCGGGAGGCTTGCAATCCATTTTTTTTTGTTTTGTTTGCTTACTTGACGAAAATCTGGCACGTCGGGAACCAGCTAAACGGCGGCAAGTGGGGTTTCGGAATTGCTCGGCAATGCCCACAGCACCGTATGCTTGTAAGATGTCTCAGCGGTAAAAATACAAGCCGCGAGTTCCATCACTACATGTCACATCAGAACACAACACAAAGGGCCCTCCGTTGGTACAACACCTAAAATTAACATTGTTTATTTTTATAAGAATATCTGCTCTAAAAGTAACTTTTGCTGCTCTGAAACACTGTCTTGGCAGCTCCAAAAGCCATTTTTGCTGCTCCAAAACACTGTTTTGGTTGCTCCAAAGGCCACATTTGCTGTTCCAAAACAATGTTTTGGCTGCTCCAAAAGGTGCTCTAAAATGGCTTGGACCAGTCACATCACTGGGAGTACTATCAAGTAAATTTGGAACACATTCCATGCATAGTCAATTTTGTCCAGGCTGCAACGCCAGCAATCATGGTTGCTGTGCCAGAAGCTGTGCAACTTGCGACTGACCATTCATAAAGGGCATGCAGCAGTTGCATCAGAAGCGGCTGTTGCCCCTGGACTGGCAAGAGTAGGGCTAGTGTGGAAATGTCTCCATACTCATTTTTGTTGCACGATGGTGTCATTTGCATACATCATTTTGGGGAAGTTGAGACCACTTTTTGGTCCCGTCATGTAGATTGTGGCCTCTGTAGCTTGCTCTCCAGTGGCCCTAAGCTCGTTAAACACGAAATTGGAACCGATAGGACGCTGGCGACAAAAGCGCGAAGTCGTTGTCGTGATAGTTGAATCTGTGCGCTCCGTGAACTTAGGCCCCAGCTTTGTGTTTGACGATTAAAGAGCCCCAGCTTGACAGTTCATGGGATGCTGCGAGAACAGCAACACTCGTGTTTGCTCGCTCTTTTTTTTTCTTCTTCTTTTGCCAGAACTTTTTTATGACTGACCACCGGGATCGTTTCATTTGATGGCACGACGTGCCAGCTTCCGTGACGTTGTTTGTTGCCGGGACCGTTTCGGATGCATCTGCTCTATAGGACGCTAAACACACCCGTTGACTTGTTTCTGGCCCTGTAGCTATGTAAAGGAGTGCCCCGAAATGAGGCTCCTAGTGCGAGTGCTTGGATGCGTCGTGTGCTGGCATGAGGCAGCAACTCGAAGTCCCTCGCTCTGTGCAGGCATGGACGTGATTGCCCAGGCCCAGTCGGGCACGGGCAAGACGGCGACGTTCTCCATCGCCATCCTGCAGCAGATCGACATGGCCCTGAAGGAGTGCCAGGCCCTGATCCTGGCCCCAACCAGGGAGCTTGCCCAGCAGATCCAGAAGGTGGTGATTGCCCTGGGGGACTACATGAACGCCCAGTGCCACGCCTGCATCGGGGGCACCAACGTGCGCGAGGACATCCGCAAGCTCGAGAAGGGCGTCCACACGGTGGTGGGCACGCCGGGCCGGGTCTTCGACATGATCAGCCGCAAGGCCCTCCGTGAGTGTCCTTCCTTCGACTCTCTTTTGGGCCGGCACTGAGCTCCGCTTTGGGAGGCCGGACCAATGCCACCCAGAAAGCGAGGCACACGCCTTTCCTCCTCTAACGTCGTCACTATTAGATCCACGCCTCTGCGCCATACTCGCGTCAGCGTTGCCGAGAGTGCCTCACGGTGCAATGCTACACGGGGAGAAACTGAGGGCGAGGAAGAGTCCAGAGCGCACGAGGACGTTGGGGCGTCGAGCTTTGATTGGAAGGATAGTGGGTAGACGCAAGGGCTAGCTGCCTTTGTCTCTACTAGCCGTTCAGACATGTTTGACATTCACATGTGAGGCACCGTGCTAGGAGCAGGCTGCACTCTTCTTCGCTCCGATTGGTGGGAGACGGCGGGTAGAGACCAAAGCAGCCAGCTTTGCGCCTCCCCACTAATTGTTCCAATCTGAGCTTGTCTCTCTGACGTCCCCGCATGCTCTCATCTTTTCTCCCTCAGTTTCTTTCTGCATAGTGACAGACAAGCTGAGAATGGCAGGGAGGTGCTTCGGTTGTTCGGCCTCCAGCGCAAGCTTTCTACCCTCGACAAAGCTTCGACATAGTGTGCACCTCAAGCGTGCATGCTTGAGACCGGGCATTCAAAAGGCACGCCCCGTCGTTCTCATTCTGTCAGTGACCATAGCTGCCGCATTGCCAAGGTGCCAGTGTCCAACGCTTTGTTCTTTTGTTTTGAGATTTTTTGTCGCACATTCCTAGGAAGAATTCGATGATCTTTCGTTTTTTCTTTTATTCTTTTGGGAGTGCGGGTCAGTTTGGGCACGGTGTTGCAACTGCAACTTTTGGATTGCTCTATGGAGGTTAGAGCTAGTGTCAGAAAGATGCCGTCCCATTAAAAGCACCGAGGCTGTAGCTTTTGCCAGGCGAAGGCAGTGACAGTTCTTGGTCGTCGCTGGGACAGACAGAATTGCCACCGGTTTTGGGTGAGGCTCCAGGGCTGAATATCTTTCCCCGGGGTCTCAATGACCGGTGCAACACAAAGGCCATGAAACAAATTTTGGGCTGGGATAAATAAGTTCTGATTGGGATTTTACTAATAGCATATCATTCAGTGGACCAAAAGAAAGAAGGTAGAAAATCAAAAACCTAATTTTCAATACAAAAGTTTGAAAAGAAAAAAACTGACCGGTTTTTATTTTTTTTTTCTTCGAAAGCTCTTTTGCCTTTTTACTCTAATACATCCATGGTGCCCAAAGCGTGTCATCCGGCCCAAAAGCATGCCACCGGACCTCTTTTACTCCCTTCACCCCTAAGCTGACAGTGCGGTGGATGCTATGCACTTGTTGGACCAATCAGCCTCCTCCCTTTCATCACCTGACCTCATTCTCTGCCCGTGGTTTATGCGCGAGGGAGCATGATTGCGTGGCAAAAGTGTGGCTGGCCCAGAAAGCACGTAGCTTCTACTGCACTGTCAGCTTTGAGGTGAACGGGGTGGTAAAAGCAACTTATGTCCGAGTTTTAAACGACAGGCTAATCTTCTAGGAGGAGAATGGCGGTATCCGGTTGCACAAACGAGGGTCCGAGCAAGAGAGTCCTTCCTTTCCATCTGCTTGAACTGTTTAGTAAAGTGCGCGATATGAGAGTTGAAAAAAGTTAAGAAAAAGTTGAAAAATCGTTTCATGACCCCTTCAAGGTAGGGTGGTCTTCGGTAGAAACCTTTGCTTGAGCCCCCATACTTCCGTAGAAGTGGCAAGTCTTTTAAGGGCAATAAGGTATGAAGACCTCGGAGTAACATTCATAGTATGGTGGAAAACCTGATGGTGCCCAATGCCTATTGCTATTGTGAAACTTGCGTAACCTCCATCACACCATTCACCCCTAAGGTGACAGGGTGGTGGAAGTTTGCGATCACCAGATCCAGATTCTTTCATTGCCCAACGCTGCTCTCCGTGTTGGGTAATCGCTTCGTGTTGTGTCCCTCTCCTTTCGTCTCTTTTGCGGCGCATTTTGTGTAAAGAATCGTTTACCAACCAGCCCATTTCTCCATTTTAATGCCCTCTATGTGTTTGGTGCGGGTCAAGGATTCACTAATGACAATGCAGTGTTCAGGCCTTGTCTTGTGGGTGGTATTGGCTCAACAACACTTGGCCATTTTTGGGGCCGGGCTCCGGTACGGCCACCGGAAGTTGATCGCTGTCCCTAATATCGGGTTTCAGCTGAACTTCTTGGTTCACGCAGTCGATATGTTTGTGCCTTCTTGTGTCTTAGCTCGTTAGTGTCGGATAGGGGGACTAGGGTATTTGAATGTGGCACGGGTGCCCTCGCACCGAAGAAAGATGGAAAGGGCAACCCGATGTATCCGATGTCGGTTGAGAGGCACACAATGAACAACAAATGAATAGCCATACCCCTATGCGAGCTCAATTGAAACGGCATTTCTGAACGCAACATCTGGGAAAACGTGCGGTGAAACCTCATTCCTGATCAATGCTTTGACGGCCGTTATGTTCATGTCAGCCGGGTCCATTGCACCCCCCCAGGAATGTCTGTATTAATTGGCGATTTGTTGCGGTTGCTTTCCCCGCTACTTTAAAAAACTTCCACCTGACGCCGTGCGTTAGTTTGCCCAGTCGCCCCACTTTCCCTCTGCTCTTCCTTTCGCCCGATTGGTTGGGCTTCTTTTCTCGCCCGTGATGGACTTTGACCAGGCTTGCAGGGAATTTTTTTTAACAGCCTTTGCATCTTTTCATTGCTTTTCATGGTGTGCACTCTCACTTCCCTTGTGCTCGGTTCTCTTTCGCACAAAGTTTGGACTTTGTGCATTGCACGAGCGTTGAGCTCCACCATGCTTCTCGCCTGCCTGCTAGAAGCAGTGGCTGACTAGTGGGAGTGGCTGAGTGCACTTGGGATGACTTCGCTCGCTGTTTGAGGTCTTTTTGGCGATTGTACATCAAACCTGAATTTTGAAAAATAGTGCCGAAAAACAGGCGTGGAACATTTGAATCCACATGGCAGTTCCTCCACAGCCATGAAAGCACACGCAAAAGAAATTGCTGCCTGGGAGTTTCTGTCCTGTCTATACGGGCAGAAACTGAGGGAGAGGAGGAGATGGGACAGACGCTGAGACACTGAGCTCTGGTTGGAATGAGCTGTGGCTGTTTGAGCGCAAATACGAGATGCTGGCGTTAAAACGCTTTTGGGAGATTGAGTAAACAAAGGTGATAAAAGTGCCCCGGGATGTTATCACGAAGTGATAACATCCCGGGGCACTCACCGGGGGTGAGTGCCCCGGTGAGTGCACAAAATATGTCACTCACAGGGGGTGAGTGACATATTTTTTATGTTGAGGAATCCGCAAAAATTATGTCCTCTCAAATATTCTTTCGCAGTTTACTGTGAAACGGGAATGTATCGAGGGGGAATCGCAGTCGATACGCTGGTGACAAACTCTGCTGCCTTATTTCCTCCCCGCAGGAACAAACAACATCCGCATCTTTGTGCTGGATGAGGCCGACGAGATGTTGTCCAGAGGATTCAAAGACCAGATCTACGATGTCTTCAGGACACTAAACTCCAACATCCAGGTGAGGGGAACATTCGTCCCCTGTTCGTGCCCCAAAAAGGGCTGCTTATAGACATCAACAAAGGCAGGCTCGTAGTGCATCAAGACTGTTCAAAGTCTCCTTTTCTAAGGTTACATCTAAGCAAGCTTTGAGATGCCCAAGCATGTAAGGAGCTAGGTAGCACAATATAAATACACCAGAAAGTTTGAACTGTAGGTGTGAAAGGCATCTGCTTTTTGTTGACAGATTTTCTCTTATGCAGAATGCATTAGCTATGTGTATGGAAAACTGGGAAGCGTAATGTTACATTGTTAAACCGTGGTGTCTCGCATGATGTTATGTCGTGACTCGACACCTAACGTTGCTAGACCTAATAACATTTATGCCCTGTTGTCACGCGACTGGTCATGGCCTGGCGCACGTCTCGCGGTCGTGCAACACGTAGGGGCATCCCTCTAAATTTGACCGATAAAAGCGTAGTGACGCAGCAGCTGCACGATTTGCAGCTTCGCTTTTGTTAAAACGTATTCTGCATTGCAAATGTTTGTGAAACTCTTAGTGTCGGTCCGTATTCGCTTAGGCAAGTTTGCGCATAAAAAAGTCACATCTCACATGACGTTGAACTCGACGAAGTTCTACCCCCCTCCGCTTGCAACGAGTGCCCGCAAGCTCTCGTGCCGCCCCAGACTTTCCCGGTGCCTGCCGGACTTGAGAGTGAACGAAATGCCGTCTGTGCCCAGGTGATCCTGTTGTCGGCCACAATGCCCTCCGACGTGCTGGACGTGACCAAGTGCTTCATGCGCAACCCCATCCGTATCCTGGTCAAGAAGGAGGAGCTCACCCTCGAGGGTATCAAGCAGTTTTACGTGGCCGTCGACCGAGAGGTGCGTCTGCTTTTTGGGACCAAGCACGGTCTCGCGCGTGCAGTGCCGCGCCAAATTGGTGCTGTAATAGACCCTTTCCAAAAGTGCGCTTCAACTAGTAGCTGCCGAGTCGGTCATCAGAGTCCGCCATTGTTTGGGTACATATTTCGATTGTTGGCATTCGGCGAGGACTCCGATTCAATTGCGCACTTTGTCCCGATAAAATGGCGACCGCCAATGATGCTCTGCTCGATGGAGTTTTGAAAAGGGTCTATCAATGCCACAGTTCATGCAAATTTTGCGTCTGTGTTTCTTCGCAGCAATGAGGTTACCTGCTCGGAACTTGCAATATTGCGAGGTAGCTCGCTGCAGCGACGTCAATTTCGGGAGCTTTCATGCGCCTGGCGTTGGGCCTAATACCGTCTTTTACCAGAGTGATAGCTTTGTTCCAAGAGATACAAGGTTTGCGGTATTGGGCCAGCTTTGTGCTTCGACAGAGTTTTTGATGCATGGGAATCTCGGACAAAAATAAGTCGCCAGAATCGTGAGCACTGTTACAGACGCCTCGTAACACCTCTGGTGTGCAACTTAAGACTGTGCCGCTGAAGCTATTTGGCACTGCCACATCGGTGAGTGCTGCGTCGACGCTGAGGTTAGTGCTGTGCATGTGAACGGTCCTCAACCCTGTTGTTCATTGTGCAGACTTTGCTTTTGGTCACTTATGCACGAAACTAAGGGTTGCGAGTAGATTGCACAATTCGGTGGACTGTCCCTTTAAAGCACCGGGGCCGTAGCGTCTGCTCGAAGGCAGACGCAGTGACGGCTGTTCGGTCGTCGCTGGGACGGACAGTAACGAACCAGTTTTGGGTGAGGACCTGGGGCTTCAATTATTTGGTTCCCCGGAGCCTCAATGACTCGTGCAACAGGCCTCTCGACCCCTTTTCGGGTCTGGTAGGTTTTTGAAAACTGCCCGGCTGCACTTCTAGTAAAGTTGGCAGTCGACTATCAGAGGTGTTACGAGTGACGGTAGGATGTCTTAGATGGTTGAGTTTTAGCTTTGCGAATTGAAGTGTTTCGTTGGCTTTAAGGCTAAAGAGATAACTCGTAAAGATGAAAACTGGGGTTTTAAAGTTTGTTTGTGCATTCTTGAGAGTTCTGAGCCCACGTTAAAAGCAAGAGGCTGTCCAAAACCGCGGGGGGGGGGGGGGGATTTTTGCAGTCCCATTTGGCAAGTGAATAGTGTTAACAGCCTTGCGGCCCGTAAGGTTGGCAAATTCTCTCGCACGAAGGTGGCAGCGTGGAAAATGTTCTGGCAACACTTTGTTCTGAGCATTGGATAGATTTAAAGACCACCCAAAAGCAAACTTTCAAAGAAAGCGTGTTCTGAGAATTCAATAGGTTTAAAGACCACCCAATAGACCATTTGCAGTATTCCCAAGCGCCCCGGCCCGCACTCAAGGAATCATGGGAACGGTGTTCCTTCAGCTACCTAGTGATCGCTAATTTTCGACCAACACCGTGGTTACACAATTTTTGAGTGTAATTCGAGGTTACCCTGAACAAGCACCTGATATACTCCAAGGACCTGTCATGTCACTTTTAAAATTGCTCGTCGACGTCGGCATTTTTGACACTGCGCATGCTGTCCACCTTTCAACCTGGCCTGAGTTGCAGAAATCTCTTACAATATTATCATTCTCGTGATTGTTGTTTGAGCAGGAATTGCTGAAAAAGTCGATAATTCACAACAACAAAAACCAGGATTTAGCTCGGAGTCTGTGGGGCTGTTTATAGAATTTTTAGCGTTTCTAACTTAATATCAGCATGATAATAATGTAGATTTCTGCAGCCCATCCAGGTTGTAGGGTGGACAGCATGCACAGTATCAAAAACGCTGACATTGGGGAGAAATTTTAAAAGCGATATGACAGGTCATTGGGGTATATCAGGGTGATTCCGAATTATGCTCAAAACCTGTGTAACCAAGAATAGGGTTGAAATTACCGATCACTAAGGGGCTGAAGGAACACCGTTCCCATGATTCTTTTAGCGTGGGCCGGGGCACTTGGGGGATATAGCAAATGGTCTATAGCAAACTGGCAAAGAAAGCGTGCAGTCCAGAAGGTGGCTGGCTGATGGGTGACAGTTGCTAGTTGACGAACGGAACTCTTATCTGTGGTCGCGCTAACTTTGGGCAGGCAGACAGAAAGCCACCTTTGACTGTAGCGGGATCATATGCGGTTTGATCAAACTGGGGTACTTCTGGGAATTGAAGGTGCTGAAGCGTCCGTCTCTTGGCAGGAGTGGAAGCTGGACACGCTGTGCGACCTGTACGAGACGCTGACCATCACCCAGGCAGTGATCTTCTGCAACACGAGGCGGAAAGTGGACTGGCTCACCGAGAAGATGCACGAGCGGGACTTCACCGTTTCTGCCCTGGTGAGTTGCTACACCAGGCGAAGTGGTGCCCGTGTTGGCGGCATGTGCATAGAGCTACGATGCTATCATTGTTTTGTGTCTTGAGTAGTTTTGGCACGCTGATGGGTTCCCTTGAACATATTAGATTTATAGTCAAACTCGTTTATAACAAACTCTGTCAGTCACATATTTTAGTTCAATATATCCCATAATTCGCTATATCAAAATCAAGCCTACTGCAAATTTTGAGGCCAGGGCTTCGTAATAAACAATTATTTTCTTGACACCATGGTGAACATGCGTTACTGCATTCTTTAGAACAGTAAGAAACATTTATGACTTGCAAAAACGTAGCTGATAATGCTCTTGGCAGGCTAACAGCTCGAACAAAAAGTAGCTTTCTAATTGTTTATTCTGCGAGAATCGAAGCACCCAGGCACGCTCCAAAAGAAAAATCTTGCCATTTTAGCGGACTGCAAAGCCTTTTTATCTGGGCTTAGATACACGATCTGCAGTATGGCAGTCGGGCCCTTGAAAGAGATGTAATTTTGCTCCTGTTAAGCCAGAGTCCAAACAAAACCAGTGGAACCGTACAGAGACAAAAAAGAGCCATGCAGAGCAGCCGAGTCGCAGCGGATTGTTGGTTGCATACAAACGCCGCCGCCAGTCCAGTCGCAAATGCGTTATGATCTTAGGCAAAAATTTGGTTATCGTTGAAATCTGTACTTTGCGCCAAGGTTGGGCAGTATTGCGATACAAATGTATTGCGATAGTATTTCGAAAATACTTTGTGTTTATAATTCTGTATCGCAATACAATTTTTCAGTCGGTATCTGTATTTCAATATTGGAACAAATTCTTAGCGTATTCCTTCAGGGTATCTACCGACCGGAAAACCTGGAATTGTCAGGGAATTTTAAGACACCTGGAAAAGTTGGGGAATTGACAGGGAAATTTCTAAAAAGATTGTTGAGTCGGTGAATTTAGGCAGGCATAGCCATAAGCGCAGTCAAGTCGGCGGAGCGACCCCCAGCGCGATGCGACCCGGCCAAGCTGACAGGTGCAGCGTTTCCACACCAACTTTTCACGCGCTGCACTTCACGCGAGAGTATGTGCAAAGCTGGCGGCTCGTCGTTCTTCTAGTACACTCTAGAGCCGCTAAATAAGCTACACTTTAGAGTAGCAACACTAAAGTATGGCAGCTAGAGAGTTACTAGTGAAGTGGAGTAGCAGCGGCTATTTGGGTTGGCTCGTGACTCTAGTCAGGTGGTGATGCTCTCGTGACCATAGAGACGCAGGGGAAACAGTTACTCTAGCTGACACTAGGTGGCGCGAGTCACCACTTACTCAGAAGGGAACAGGGAGGGAGTTGCAAGCTGCACTTTAACACGCGAAGAGCCGCAAGTGGCTCGCAAGCCGCAGCTTGGCCACCCCTGCTCTAGCACCTACCCTGTAAATTTCATTAATTGCCCAGGGTTCAAAAGTTGACCCTTTCAGGGGGTGTGGCACCTTAATGAAAGATGTATTTGAGTGTTACTGCCCTGGCAAAAGTTGAATGCCTGTATTTGTATTTTCAAATACTTTTCTATTTTTCAAAAGTATTTCTGATAACTCATTGCAATATTTCAGTACTAATGTGTTTCAGAATCGGTATTTTAGCTGTCTCTGTCATGTATCCCAGTATTAGTATTTCCAAATATGTTTTAGATTTTCTCTGCCTAACCCTGCTTTGTGCCAGGGAATCGTTTCCAGCTTGTCAAAGAACGATAGAGACGGTTGCCATTTCCTGGGTGAAATGGCAACCGTCTCTACGCATTTCTTTTTCTTTTGGAGCACTGGTGTATTTCTTCTTTTTAACATGGCATGCGCTGACGTCACATCGCATGCTTTTGTAGGAAGTTTGAGTGACATGTTAATATGGCATTTGTAAGCTTTGCTTTAGAGAAGCAGGTTCCACAAGCCCGGGTGGACAATCATGGAAATGGTGATGCGCTGGGCATATAACGGATGAGATATTACATAGTAGGCTTCTTCTAAGTGATGCTTGAAATGAAAGTGTCTAGGGGTACTTATTTATTGTTCACCTATAGTCACTGACAAGAGTAAAATCTCCGGGTGGCCCTTCTGAGCATTGATCATGAATGCGTTACTGAAGCATGGTGGAAAGCAAAAAGTGCACTATGCCCTGCCATTCTCAACTAGCTAGAATTGCCTTTTGTTGGACAACTGAAAATGTACCGCTTAGTGTTTCTTCCTTGTTTTGTAAGCAGGATATAAGGATTTTTAAGTCAGTCATTTGTCGCAACTGATCCTTTTCAAGACTCCATTGTGCTGCATTGCTGGTCACAGTGTTCTAGTGTAGTGTTTCGTTAGACCCCAAGCAGAGCAATAAAACCAACGTGTCCAGTGTATGCTGCGAGGCTGCAACAAAAATATGGTGTGGCAGCTACTACACCCTGTTCGCCCTTAAAGTAGCACGCAAGTGGATTCCGAGATCATGTATTTATTGTCAAAACTCCATCTACGGGCTCTAAGCTTCCTAAAAAAACACAAAATTACATTCAAGGGCGGCCATTTTCCCTATAAAAAATCCAATCAAAGACTGTGCCACACCCCGCTTTCTGCGCTGTGGTGCAGAACACCAAGGGGTGCCGTCGGACGGGGCGCAGCAGGGGACGACACGCGACAGCAAATTGCAAGTCGCAGCTTCCCGGCGGTCTGGTTTTTCGAATGTGTGCATATTCCAAAAATCGGTCTACTGGGAAGCCGTCACTTGTGATTGGCTCTAGCGCATCCTCCCCTCTTGCCATCCCGTCCGACGGTGCCCCCTGGTGTTCTGCGCCAACACAAAAAGGGGGTGTGGCACGATCGTTGTTTTGATATTTAATAAAAAAAGTCAACCGCTCTTAAGGGGGGACACGGGCTCCAATTCCCGATTTTTTTTTTAAAAGTGCATTTTTCAAATTTGTTATAACTAATTTCAGAAACTAATAATGCACCCTTCCATAAAATTTCATGCCTGTACGTCGAGTATTTAAGCCGATATAAAAGATTTTCGACAGGTCGGCGACGCGCCTCCTATCCCCGAGTCGTTCCGTCGCGCGATCGGTTGACAATATTCGCCATTTTCAAATGCCGACCGCTCCGCGCCCATTTGGCCTACCGCGATGTTGATACCCTCGTTGGAAGCGTCGTTTCTTCGGGCTTTTATGACGATAGTAAACTTCGTTCGAGAGTAAGCATGAACAAAGCCAGAGCCCTCTAGTTGTCGGCTATAATTGGCTTGAAAACGAAACTCAAGCCTGGATTGGCCCGTGACACCCCACGTGATCCGCTCGCCCGAATTATTGTTTCGTCTCGTTGCTTCGGCCGAACGTTCGCTTCTTTTGCTTGCTCGTTATATATTTCTCACAGTTTTATCGTTTTATCTACGGTCTCGTCGCCGCGATGCCGGCCGTTAAACGGCATTCCCTCCAAGCCTTTGGAGCTCGCCGCCGTTCTGTGAAACCAAGAGGCTCGTCAGGTGGACGCGTACGATGCGCTAACCCTAACGGAACCACGTCGGACGCGTCGGCTGCTTCGCTCCCGAGCGCGTCACCATCTCCCGGTTCGTCGCTTCAGGACCTGACCTCTGAACAACCAGCCGACGTTTCTTCGTCTCTTCCTGAAGATTATGAGGTTGTGGAGGAGCTCACGGCGATAGAGCGCAAGATCTCGCTACTGCAAGAGAGCGATCCCGCTGCGGATCCCACGGACGCTCCCGCTGCTCCCGACGGTGCCCCAACCGAAGGTTATCGTCTGGTTGCTTTATCTGCCATCGAGACACTGGTGTCCGCTCTTCTGTGCCCGGTGTGCTGTGGATCAGACCTTCAGCTAAGCGAGAGTGGCAAGGGAGTTCAGGCGCAATTCGTCGTCGTCTGCCCAGACTGCGGGGACGTTGCTCGGACGCCGCACTCGTCGACCATCGGACACTCGCGGCAGAATGAATTGGCAGCACGGATTTCTCTTGCGTCTCGTGAATGTGGAATCGGATACACGAAGCTTACGAACTTTTTTGCCGGTATCAATGCTCCTTCGCCCATGCATCTCCGATCTTACCAAGATCTGGGAGAAAAGGTCCACGACGCCTCAGTGAGAGCAGCCAGCAACGTAATGAGCAAGGCAGCAGAAGCTGTACGAGAAACACGCGAGTCAGATAGCGGTGATTTGATGGACGTTTGTGTGACATACGATGGCACTTGGCATAAGCGTGGGCACACTTCACACTTTGGTGTTGGAGTTGCCATCGAGCTTGAGACTGGACTAGTTTTGGACTATTCTGTCCAGAGCAATTATTGCCATGGATGTAGCCTTGGACCTGCGCAGGGATCTGACAGCCATGAAGACTGGGCCGAGAATCACAGGGCAGTATGCCAGAAGAACTTTGCTGGGTCTGCAAATGCGATGGAGCTGCAAGCAGCAGACGAGATCTTCCGTCGGTCCGTCCAACTCCACAACCTGCAGTATGTGACAGTGCTGTGCGACGGGGACAGTAAAGCCTTCAACCATGTTGCGGGACTTGATCTTTACGACAAGGGCATGAGGAAAGAAGACTGTGTGAACCACGTCGCCAAAAGAATGTATGCTGGCATGGAGGCCCTAAAGAAAACAAAAAAAGGTCTCGGTGGAAGGGGCAAACTAACGAACCTTGTCATGAAGAAATTGACCAGCTACTATGCATCTGCACTGAAGACCAGTGCCCCAGACGTTCCAGCCATGCAGAAGGCAGTGTTTGCCAGCCTCCTCCACAGCTACTCCACCGATGAAGAGCCCCGGCATCAGGCCTGCCCTCATGGAGAACATTCCTGGTGTCACTTCAATCGCCAGAAAGCGCTGGAGGCAGCAGGAGAGCCGACGAAGCCACAGCCACACCGCCCTGCCTTCTCCAGAGACATCGCAAAGGAGTTGGTGCCCCTCTACAATAGACTCTCAAGGCAGGACCTACTCGAGAGGTGTGCTAGGATGGGAACGCAGAACAACAACGAGTCGTTCAATGCTCTGGTGTGGAGGCGGTGTCCCAAGACGGATTTCGCCTCTCGAAGAACTGTGGAAACTGCCGTGGCTCTTGCCGTCCTGGAATTCAACCTGGGCCCCAAGGGCTTTGAGAGGGCCCTTCATGAAATGGGAATCGAGCCCGGAAGCCACCAGGTTCAGCACGCTGACAAGGCCCTCCAAGTCAAGGTCTCCAAGGCGAAGCAGAAGGCCCTCAACTCTTCGAAAGTGGCCCATAAGCAAAGGAAGCTGGCAGCAATCGCCAAGGCACAGAGGGACCAGGCAGCTGAAGGGGAGACCTACTCTGCCGGCGCCTTTTAGTGGACACAGACTGGGCCAAACTAATAAAGTAAAGGTGCTCAATGTTTGAATGCGTTTTTCTCAGTTTCACTTTTTTGCTGCAAACTTTGTAGCAAGGAATCTATCGTTTGATGGTAAACATATCCAGGTTCCTCGTTCAAAGTGTTTCTTAACTGAAATTTACTGGGGAATTGGGCTATCTACTTCATTTTGTTTTAAGTTGAAGTCATCACTGAGAAAAAAAGACATTTTGGCAAAATGGCATTCAAAGAAAGTGCATATGATTTTTGGAGACAGAATTTCTCTCCGAAATATTTACATTTTAATCATACAAATTAGATAGCCCAAAGCCACATACCCTCTACTTCATATCCAAGCAATAAAAACAGTGGTTTAACATTTCATTTTCATACGATAGATTTCCTAAGGAAAGGTGCCACAGCCTCATACACAAATATGTAACTTTTTACATAATTCTCCTATAGAAGTCAAAGTTTGCACAGTGCCCCTGCATCTGCTCATAAATGCACTCTCCAAATTTCATTAAAATCGGACGAGGAGTTCAAAAGTTAATAATTACGCCAGTGTCTCCCCTTAAGATTTTTTTTTTTTTTTTTTTTTTATGCTTGGAGTTTTTAAATTTGATTTATAACATTAAAGAGCCAATCTCGGAATCCACTTGAGTGCCCCTTTAAGCTGACACGGCAGCCAAAGCAAGCTCACCTCTTGAGATCCGTGTTTATGTCCGAGCTAATCATCTGTTTGGGAGCGTCCATCGGTGCTGAGCGCTGTGCCCCGTCCTTCCCCGCAGCACGGCGACATGGGCCAGAAGGAGCGTGATGTGATCATGCGTGAGTTCCGGTCGGGCTCGAGTCGTGTGCTGATCACGACCGACCTGCTGGCACGAGGCATTGATGTCCAGCAAGTGTCCCTGGTCATCAACTTTGACCTGCCCACCAACAGGGAGAACTACATCCACAGGTGAGACCTCACGACCTGCTTCAACGGCAGCAGGAGTGCTCTGCTTCCGACATTTTTTCGTCGGGAGCTGAACAAAAGGAAGTAGTGGGGACATTGTTTCTTAAAATTGGGTTTCTAGGGCAGTTTGTAATGATCAACATCTAGAGCTCAGATATTGTATTGACTTGTCTGTAAGCTGTTTTTGTTGCTATGGTGGTTACATGGTTCTAATAGTTTGTGGGGGAGTTTGATAAGGATGTGTTTGGGTGTGCAAGAGTACTTTAGAAGCCAACTGAAGACATAAGTATAGAGTAATCGCTATAATGTTTTGATGTTGCCTCCTGCATGGGTGGGGAAGCATTATATGAAGCCATTTGTTAAGTCTTAATATCTTTATAATCTCTGGGAGGGTAGTTACAGGCCTGTGTCTTGGGAGCTGCATCTTTGCGACGATGTTGCCTCTTCCTCCACAGAATCGGCAGAGGAGGCCGTTTCGGTCGTAAGGGGGTGGCCATCAACTTTGTGACGGAAGAGGACAAGCGCACCCTGAAGGACATTGAGGGCTTCTACAACACCGAGATCGAGGAGATGCCCATGAACGTGGCCGACCTGATCTAAGGGGAGAGAGCGCCCCGAGCACCAGCGTGCCCGGGGGGAGAGAGGGAGTCTGGGCTGGAGGGGGGAGGGGTCCGTGATGCTGTCAACCGTCACGCTCCCTGTGCCGCCGAGAGTTTGGACCAGGGGGACAACTGTGAACGGGACATTGGACACGTGCGGAGTGAGAACTGCCCGTGCGTCTGGTTCGCGCAGTCTGTGACTGCAAAAGGGGCGGCCGGGGCGAACGGAAGATTTGCGGGAGCGTCGAGCGGCGGCGGGGACCGACGCGGAAGACTCGTCCGTCCGGCGCGGCAAGCAAAATTGGACGGTGTCCTTCTCTTCGGAATTGGGGTGCCGAGTCGCCTTCCACCGGTCGGGCGTGGGCAGGCGTCCTTCCGCTTCCCTCTGCGTCCCGCACTTGTCCTGTCTGCCCTGGCCCAAGGGGCGAGTTTACGAGCCAGACGTCGGGGGCGCAGGTCGAAAGTGCAATGACGGAACGGACTGTTCCAATTGGCCAAACCAAAAGTTCTAGAACAATCTGGTGTTTAACCATATAATTAGAAAGTGAGTTAAAAAAAAAAATTAATAATCTGAAGCAGCGGCGTTGCTGTGAGAAAGTTTGTCTCAGTGCCTCGGGCACGATTTCGGTAAAGCAAGTAGTTGCTAAAATGAGTTATAAATAAAACTGGAGAAAGGCGCGCTTTCTCTCTTCCCCCTGTAACTTGTGCTTATTATATTCGTGTCTTTTTTGTGTCTGGGGCTCCCTAATAATCTACCATGTTTAAAGGAGTTAATTTTTATTAAATTCAATATGAATACATTGGTGTGTTGGTTTCCTTTTTTTTTTTTATATGCCCAGCTTGGATATGGCTCACTTTTTTTCCCTTTTTCTTTTTTGATTGTTGAAGTACTTTGTGGTGACGTCTAGCATTCTTTCTGCTATTTGGCACCTTTTTGCGATAATTTGATTTGTATTATTCAGACTTAGAATTTAATTTTGAGTGCAGAGTGGACTGTCGCTACTCTGTTTTCTGCGTTAGGTACATGGCTGTTTTTTGTGTACATACTGTACGCTTTGGTACTAACTAGTGTGGTGTGTTCCGCGCAAAGATTGCTTTGTACAGTAGCTGCAAGCGCATATATTTATGAAGCAAGGGGAGCGAATGATTGGTTAGGTCGAGGCTTGGGCATGCACTTTTGCCATGCCATACTTTTTTTTAATACCTTGGGTCTTATAAGGAAGGATAATAATGTGCCCGGTCATCTATGGTCCTGTGCAGAGGTTTAACTTCAGCCCCTATTGCAGTTTTGTGCCTGTCAGCCTTGAGGCACCATTCCCGCCCTATCCATGCTAGCTCAGTATTGTGGCTGTAGTGTCATGTGCTTGCTAACTCTTTTAGTTGCTCCCATCGTGTTTTTTTTGTGCAAAGACATCCCACTTTGCCAAGCCAACGAGTGCTTTGGACAGATGTTGGACGGGACAATAGAAAAGAAAAAAAGAAATGCGCGCCAAGCGGGGTGCATACTTTTATTTTTCTGCCCAACACTCGCAGTTCGGGGAAGACATTTTGGTACGCCGAATAAAGCTAATGTTTGGAGAGTACCTAGAGTTCCGAGTCTTGAAAATATAGTTCTAGACATGGTCTTTAACAGTTACTAGGACATATACAAATTAAAAAAAAACAAAACATTGTGGTACTTTGTGGAAGCTTTCCCACCGCTAGTGAAGAGTGAAGCCACAACGTGCGTATACATGTCGGACTGCATGCACATTGGAATTGCTCATGGCTAGCTTGATAGGGGGGTACCAGTCGCTGAACAGAGGAGTGTGCCCAGATACCTAAGTTTGCAAATGCGCGATCAGGTTCAGGTGTGGCCGCGTTTGCAGTTCAAGCTTGGAGGAGACTGACTTGTCGATTGTCTGCAAAAATCTGCGAAGTGAAGGGGGGATCGGTGGCCGAGTGGTCTAGCGCACACCAGCTCGGAGCACGTGGAGCGAAAGCTCGCGCTGCAGAACCCAGGGATCCTGGGTTCGAGCCCCACCCCTGCCCGTTTCGATCTGGATGAGCATCGTACCGGCGTGCGGTCGTGTATCACTACTGCGTGGTGCACGTTAAAGACCCCAGGCTAGCGGTTGTACCGCACTGGCTAAATTTCTCATCTACAGCTGGGAGACTCGTCGCCCCTGTGAGGCAGACCAAGTTCTAGGCTGTATAAACACACACACAACCCAATTTTTTTCTGCCAAGTGAAGCTCCCTGGCTCCACTCCCTCCATCAATCTCGACAAGGCGCGCATGCACGCCCAATCTGAGCAGGAAGCGTCCACCATAAAATAACAGGTTTATATGGTTTGAGATAAGTCTATTTCAAAAGCTGTAAGGTTTGATTAAATCTAGGCTTTCTGAAACAGTTTTTAGGGTTCCTTTAGAGCTGCATCGCTGTGGCGGTGAAAATGTGAATCAAACGATAGTGCACCCTTTAAACTACTTTTTGACAGCATTTCAAGTTTCAACCCCAACCTACTGTGCTGTAGGTAGAGGTAAATCCTCAACGCATAACCCTTTTTTTTTTTTTTTTTTTTCCTTAAATGAAGGACGGTTTTTTGGGGTTTGATGGTTTTGGAGATTTTCGTTCCCCGATGCCTCCTGTCGCAGACTTTAGTGCCTTTACCGAGGAACCTCGGCACCGTTAGGACGGCAGACAGTAGCACTAGAGAAAGTACGAAGGGGGCGAAGCAGGCTCCGGCCGCCTAGAAAACAAGGCCGTAGTGCTGACATTTTTGCGTCGCCAGCGAAGGCCAACTCTGGACACAGTTTGGAAACGAGTTTGCGTCGGCGCACGGCTTCGAGTCAAGTTTGAGCCGAACGTTGACGCAATCGTCGTGTCCAATCTGTGCCCAGCGTTGGCCTTCGCTGATGAAGCCATCTCATTGAGCACACTCCCCCCCACTTTTATTCTCTTCCAACATAACAACGCGATCTCTTTCTCTCTCTCATTCAGCACTACGGCTTTGTTATCTAGGAGGAGTTGTTCGACCTGCCCTTTCCCGGCTCTCAGCATTCCGCTGCTCGGTGCTTGTCGGCATTAAACCAAGGGACACTGACAGGGTATTTATGCCCACCAAGGTCTTTATTTGTACATGACATATAAGAGAAAAGCCCAACTACCAAAAAAAATTTGCGCCTCGAATTTTCTTTTTTTTTTTTCCCGGAAATTGTTGTTCGAGTCTTGGCCTGTTTGAGTCGCGCTCACTCTCTTCTCAGTGGTCACGTGCCGTTTTCTATGGTTTAGAGTCTTTAGACACTTCAGACACAACCACCTAATATTAAGGTCGTGGGTCATCGAAGGCACAAAAAATATTAGCAATAAAAAAGAAATATACCCATGTTTTTGTGGCTTCTGACAAACTGCAAATACGTTGACTGAAAAAAAAAAAAAAGTTGCTCAATTATTTGATTTTTGCCCAACTCTCTCCTCCTCTTTATTAGTTTCTTCTTCCTCCCCCGTTTCGGTTTCAAGCAGCTGCGTTATTTTACTTCATTACAATTATATGTGACGCTGTAGCCAAATATTCGTAGTCTTCTGACACCATAATCAATCGCCTGGCAAAACAATAAAATATAAATTCTAGGGGGTGTCAGTGTGCCTTTATAGCTGGAAAGTCGAAAGATGCATTATAGCGAGTTCGTTTCACGGCACTCGTGCCCACGCGTGCCCACTCGCAGCGTGGAACGGGTTCGTTTCGGCCGGCGCTCCACGAGTGGTTGCACTCTCCGAGTTCGTTTCAGCGCTTACACCCCACGCGTGCATGCACTCGCTGCACCGAGAAAATCGGGAGTGCGCCAAAATGCAATCCCGGCATGCCTCGCTCCGGCGGGGCCGGCGAGGAGCGGGAGCAGACGACGAGGGTTCGTCTGCTGCGATGTGTCGCGGAACCGAACGGAAAAAAAAGTAGATTTTCTGATAGAAATCGCGTCCCGCGGGAAACGAAATCAAACGCGAGCTTGAATTGTGAGCGTCTGCTATTTCACTGAGGAAGCAATTGACAACCCGTGATTTATTTGCAGGTTTTAAATCGCTCTGTTGCCGTACAAACGCTGTAATATATTAGTGTGTAAGGAAATGCTCAGAACAAACGCAACAGCGGCCCCCGAGATGTCGATCGCCATCCGTGTGCGGGTGAAAAATTTAACATTTGTCGATAAAACTCCCCCAGCACCAGCAGAAACCTCTGACTGCCCAATAAGCATCAGAGAAAACTAAAGATGGTGACTTTACCCGAGGATTGGGCAACATCATCATGTTTAACATTTACCTACGCAGCTAACTTGCCCCGTCGTATTTTGTTCGAGAAAGCTCTCGTTCTCGACGCCCTCACCAAGGCTAATATCTAATCCACCTGATGACGATCCAAATCGAAAGTCCCAGTTTTGCTGGATATTCCAACAGGCTAGTTTTAAGCCGTACCCTTTCAGTGGTTCACGCATAAAGCCTGGTTCAGACAGTTGCGTTTGACTGCGTTTGACTGCGTTGCGGCAGCGAGAAACCAGGACTTCCCCGCTGCTTACATCGCGTGCCAAGGGGATTCCTTGAATTGGATTCCACGCTTCATACGAAGCACAGATGTGCCGGTGACTCGCTTTCCGTACTCGACGCAACGCAGTCAAACGCACTCAAACGCAAGTGTCTGTACCGGCCTTAATACCATGCTCAAACGGATCAAGCTTCTGCTCGGACAGCATCATCAGTTTTCTTCAGTGTAAACGGTTATAAGGATTGAAAGATCGCAACCAGCTGCTTTCTAGACAGCTGGTTGCGGAAATTTACGCCGTCTGTAACTATCCCCACGGCAGCCGAGCCACTTGAAGACATCGCAACTATTAACTACAGGTTGCAGTTGCCAACGTTTGTAGATAAACGTTGGTAGCGACTCCCACGCATCACTCGGAACAGAAAGGCACTAGTTTCGGTTTGAAGTCGGTACCTTTTCTATAACATAGATGGCGACAGCATCAGTCTTCTGCACTCGGTGCATTTGGCGAGTTCGTTTGAGTCCAGTTTTCCGTGCAACACTCAGTGAGTGCGATGCATTCTGGGAGAGAACTCGAACGGTGCCAGTGCGTGTGAAACGAACTCGCTATTATTTTGTCCGTCCTTCGTGTTTTATTCTTGTATGTGACTTTTTCACCAACGCGCTCAGCTGAAGTATCTTCTTCGGTTGAGGTGGTGACTACCGAACGATAGTTAGTCTCCCCAAGTTGGAAAAAAGAAAAGGAAATATAAAGTTCTAGCTCGTGGCGAGCTAGAAGTTTAGATAGAAATCGGTTGGAAGTTTTCGTGTCATCCCGTTGCACTCGGCAAGTTGTAGCACCCAAACAAATCCAACACATTAAAAGTAGAACACGAAAATTAGGCATCCGCTCGCGACCCATTAAGTATATAAGTACCCGGTGTTTAATTAAAAAGTTATTCGTGATTTTCAGAAATTTTCAGTAAGGAAATGGTGACAAACGGAGCCCGCGAATGAACTGCACGCATTACCAGGAGCGCGTCTCATTTTCTAATTAAAGAGTTTCTGAAAATCGCTTTTAAGTTTTTAATTGGATAACGACAAGCTTTGAAACTGGCATCTGCTCCGAACCACTAGCTCTAAATCTGGGCTGAGGCTAGTCGTTCAACCAATGTAAGCATACTTTATTTTTTTTTTTTTTTTTTTTTTTGCGTTAAAAAAACGCGTTTTTTTTTTTTTTTTTTTTTTTTTTTTTTTTTTAAAGCGTTTGGCATATTCTTTTTAAGTAACATGTAATCTTCAGGGCCAAATGACACCCTCTTAGATGAAGTAGACAAACCTGTCACTTTATAAAATACGACGGAGCAGCCTATCTTGTTCCTGGTATATTCGATACCCGGCAGAAAGTTCTGGTATCGTGTGAAGCAAAATAACACAACTGAAAAAAATGAACCCCGCCTTGTAACCGCACATTTTTTGTCCTTCGTTGCATGGAAGCTCATGCGCCTCACTTGCCGAGAATTTACTCCAATCAGCCCAAAGAAAAAAAAAATTGGTTATGTCAGTTTCTAGTTCCTTTTCTCATCATATACTTCAAATGAAAGCGCGTCAAGTTTTATTATCGCGCAAAGGCCCCTTCAATTTTGAATTTCGCGCCATTTGGGTGTTGCCGACGCAAAATGGCCACACGCCGCCGCCCGCCGCCGAAGCCGCCGCCGCCGCTGCGCCGCCGCGAATGAATATCCGGCGCGGCCATATGGCGCAACTGGGCGCGGCGGGCGCGGTTGAGGAATACGAAACTGCGCAACCACCAGATCTCCGAGATTTCGACAGAAGGGAAGTTAATGCAGCGTAATGACTTTATTGCTTTTTATAAGCGTTAGAATAGCTCATAATTTAGTTTACAACGTTAAATTATCACTGTTTATATTGCTGAGAGTTTTCACTCTTCGCGTTTACCATGGCAACGTTGCTTTCTTTCTCTCGTGTTCTGTCGCTCTCTTTCGCGATCGTTCACTCGGGACCCAGGATGTCGGCGCACGGGATTTGCCACTCCTCCTCACCCACCTTTACCCCCCTGGTGCGCGCGAAACGGCTGCTACTCAGATCACAGCTTATGTAGTTAATCAGCTTTTAAACTGCTTAAACCGCGCCCTCACTTACTTGCTAGTGGTTTTGGTCGCACGCCGTAAGCGCTCAGCGTGCCTCTGTGCGCAGGAACGTGTAGATTGAACTCGAGCAACTTAATTTGTCGCGCGGATCCGAGTGCTCCAAGTTGTGTCTCCCAGCCTGGAAATGGCACAATCTTCGGACAAGGATGCCGAATGTGCGCGGTTACTGCACAAATTGTGCAGCGTCATCACTGGACTCTCCGCGGGTATGGGGCACTTCTTTAAATCCTTTGACGGCGCCGAACCGTTTTAATGTTGTTCTCTCCACCCTTTCAGATGCCGTTTCACCCTTGTTCGAAGAGTGCTCGCACGTACTTGGCAGGTATTTATGAACAATTTTGTTTCATTCGCGTCTCAGGGGTACAAGGACGTTGCCCTGCTAAGCGGTGTCACGTCGAGACAGTGTAAGTGACGACAAATGCGGTGAGCGCCAAACGGAGCGTCGATAGACTGTCGTTCGAGGTATCCATGGCTTGCACTGACGTCCACAATGAGAGATAAAAAAAAAAAGGGGAGCTGTTTTTGTAGCAATTTTGAGTGACGGGCTAACCTATAATCTCCTGGAAGGAGAATAATGACGTTTGGGCAAATCTAGCAGAGAGAAAAAAGCATCCTGGTAAGAGGCGAGCTCCTTCCCCTCTTCTCTGGTGGCGATCAGAGCCGTATATGTAGAGAGTTTGGCCATTCGTTGGGAAGTATAGGAGACAAATGAAGCGGCGCCATTGGCCGAAAGCGGGCTGGGCGTGTTCCAGGGCGTCTTCAGAAATTCGAATGTGACCAACCAGAAGCCGGAAATAATATCCTGGCGGTGGTCACGAGAAACAAACCTGATAACTGCATTGGAGTAACTCTTGATGGCTGAAAATATGGTACACGTGATGTTTCAATCACACTCATCTAAAATGATGGTGGAAGAGTGCGACTAGCAGAAAGATCGACATAATCCTTACGCCGAGCGCCGGGAATCTGCCGTCAGAGCGGTCACACTCTGTCCGCGCAAAACAGAGTTGAGCGGCGCATTCGTTTCTTACATCTTTCTGCATGATCATGATGAAACAACACGTAAACCCTATTTTCAACCACAAAGAGTTACTACATTTCACTCTTACGCACTTATTAAAACCATATACGAACATAGACCTTTGATGATCGATCGGCTCAGAACTGTTTCTCGCTACCACCGCTAGGGGATTCTTTTCGACTTCTGGTTGGTCAAGAGAGCAAGCCAAGCCCTCTTTCCGAGTCTGCCGCACGCCCTGGCTCTGCCCGCACCTCCCATTGACCAAACTCTCTACATATACGGCTCTGGTGGCGATTAGAGCACTATATAGCTCTTACGAAGCAGAGTAGCGCAATCCTTTGATCCACGTGCTTTGCCGACAACATGGCAGACAGAGCAGCGCTGCGCGAGTCACGTGGTACTAGGGGTTCCAGGAAGCGGCCTGCCCTATGGGAGAACACATGGAGATCGACTCAACACAGCTGACTAAAAGTAAACGCCTAGTTCACACTTTTCGAAACTAGTCTTTCGTGAAGTTGGTAAAGCACTAAACACTTTATCAAAGTTTTCATAATATCGGATGCTTGTGAACATTTTGAGAAGGCAATTTCCGAGGGAATGGCATTTGGAGCAGACGAGTTTTGTACGCAGCAGAGATGGACTTTCTGGGTTGGCCGGAGCGGGTCACGTGGACGGTGCGACGTCGCCGTGTCGTCTGCTACATGATGCCGCTCAAGCCATTTTTTAAAAACAATGGACCTTTTCCGAGAAGCGTTCTGCGCTTGCGCGAGCGCCCGATGCCAAGCGGTGGAAATCGGCACGAAAAAATCGAGGAAATTCGGAATGAGGCTGTAAATCGACGAGTAGAACACGTAATTGCAGCATATATATAATTGTGTTACACAAAAAAAAGAAAGTGGACGGAAAGAAAAACACGACGTTTGTGTGGACGCTACGGATTTCCCTCTTTAAAGTCGCGTTGGGCACGCGACGCTGCTCAGAGAGCAAAGCAACTGGTAGCGTAGCTCCCATTATCGATTGGTAGCGCACGTAGGTCACTCCCTCGATTTTTAGTTCGTGCAGCCACCGCTTGGTGCCGTCGGTATTTGGAAAAGGTCCATTGCATCCTTACATGGCATGCAACTTAGCGCGAATTATTCTAAAATGTTCCTTTATTATGTCAAAAACTACTGATGTTGCGCACATTTCCGTAATATTGAAGAAACAATGATTTTCTCACGTTTTCCATGCATTTCTGATTAGAGTTGGAACCCCCGGGCGTTCGCCGCTAGTCGCCGAGAGATGGCGTTCTAGATTGCATTACTCTGCTCCGAAGGAGCTATATAGTGCTCTAGTGGCGATCAGAACACTCTTTGGATGACGTCATGTGCAAGCCATGTATTGATGTCGCTGGCCTGCAATAAGGCCGGCGTCATACGGGTCTCTCCGCAACACCAGCAGCCTTCTGCATTCAAACGCGCCAATTCCTGAAGCTCGAACTGCTGTGTTTTGTTATCATCATCATTAAAATGTTTAATTATTGCACTATTTAGATGCAAAGTTTCATATTAATAACGTGTCTTTATAAAAGGTGTGCGGGCCACTTCCGGTTGCCATGACGGGGGGGGGGGGGGGGGGGGGGGGGGGGGCGGGGTAGGAGGAGGAGGAGGAGGAGGAGGAGGAGGAGGAGGGAGAGAGAGAGAGAGGAGATTCCAGGGGCCCTAAACTCGTCAAAAACAAAGTTGGAGCAGAGAGTTCGTGGAGCGCGCCGATTCGACGTCGGCGAAAAGGCTTGAAGTCATCGTCAAGATAGGCCAATCAGTGCGCTCCGTCAATTTCGGCCCCAACTTTGTGTTTGATGAGTGTAGAGGTCCAATTCTGCTATGATTATCTTGTGTTTGGGTGGGTGCGTGACTACTCTGGTTCATTAGCAAGCAATTCCATGACAGCTATGCTCTAGAAATGCCCCAGTGTTGTACTTTTAAGTTTTCAATGCGTACCGGCACGGACAAAATGTCACAAGTGAAGTTACTTCGTTTATCTCGAGACGATGAACGCCACCAATGCCGCTGAGTCTGGGTGACCGCAGAATGATGGCATTGGCAGACGGTGTTAGTCTGCTTCGATGTGCTGCCGACAGATGGTGCAATGCGACGAAGGCAAGATTGCGGTGCTGGCGCCTTGATTAACCATCGTACAATGATGGGTTATTACGGCACATACAAATACAATGTGCACGGTGATCCGGGAAAGAAACCTTGAAATCCAAAGCAAGCAGGTCAAAACACTAGAAAATTGTGCATTACAGACTCGCGTCATTCTGTATTAAGTGTAACGAAAACTTTTGGAAGATTGTCTGCTAAAACCAAGACCTGGCTCGGCGACGCCTGTGGGGGGTAGCTTGGCGCGTATCTTCGGCGCCTGGGGAGGTGGGTGCCCACCACTGACGCCTTGCCGTTCACAAAGTAGTTGAACACGTTTAGGGATTTGTAAGTTTTAAGTCGTTCTCTGGTATATGGACCACATGGCTCGAATAGGTAGTAGTCATGAAGATGCACCCAGGATACCTTTGGTAGATTCGTCATCTTCTTGAGGAACAAGTGCTCTTTCTTTTCACTTAAAAGATCAGGAAGTCATGTCGATCCTGTATGTGGAGCGCAAGTTTGTCTGCTTCTTCAGCAGAGGTGGTGACATCAAAGTGCCGAGCTCGGATTGGCTCCGATTATGAGAAGAATGGGTAGACCTCAAGGCACTGTCCTTCCATCAGAGACAATCAGAGCTCGGCGTTTTGATGTCAGTGCAACCCCTGTGCAAGAAGCAGACGAAGTTGCACTCCACAGAGGTAAATGTCGGGAGGTACTGCAGTTATTCCTCGGCGGTGAGACTTCTGAAGTGTGCGGCACTTAGTGCAGGTCCTCAAAAGCGATAGCCAACTGGAAGCAACATACTCCCCCCAGAGGTTCAGTCATGTTTGTTTTTCTTCACCTGCGTACACCCTGTATACAGGGTGTGCGGTGATGCGAGTCTGTAATGTACAGTTTTTCAATGCTTTGACCTGCCTTTTTCAATGTTTATTTATTTATTCATGCATTAGCATTAGAACGCTTGTTTTGACAAAAACCCGGCGGTGTCTTTTGTTTGTCAGTTACAGGGAGGGAGGGAGAAGGAGGGGGAGTGGGTGATGCGTACAAGATTCCCATTGGTTCGAAGTGTTGACGTCAGCACGCATCAACCTCTTTCTCTCTTTCTCTCTTTTCCCGTAGCTGACAAACTGAAAAGACACTGCTGGGATTTAGTCAGAAAGAGTCCCTTGGTTTTCATCAAAGTCACCTGCACAGCTGGTGCAGAGCCAGAGAGGAGAATTTGCTGAGCAACACCCTCTAGATAACAAAGCCTTAATCAGGGTGTAAGATAGACAGGTGGGGAAACGGCCCATAGAAGCCCACCGCAGCGCCGTGACCGGATTGTGTACTCGTCTGCTTGCGGGTACCCCCGACTTGCGACAGATGGCGCTGCGGCGAGAGGAAAAAAATCGGAATCAGATTTGCGTGGAACTCTATGGGAGAGTGCGCAAAATAAACCGAGAGCACGACAGTCGTTCATTAAAAATCCACGAGAAACCATCTCCGTCAGTTTAGCCGGTCGCCACCGGTCGCCCACCCGGTGTGAGAGTTCGCAGTGCTCCACATAGATGGCGCCACAGAAAAAGAGAAAACCGAGGGGGACACAATGCGGTCAATCCTTTGGCTCTCGTTTCCCCACCTGTCTATCTTACACCCTGGCCTTAATGCTGAATGAAATTGTGTCATCAGAGAAGCCCAACGTTGGGCACATGAACACAAATTGAAAACGAGTGCTGCGTCAGCGCTTGGCTTCGAGTCAAGTTTGAACTGAGCCGAACGTTGACGTAATTGTCATGTCCAACCTGGGTCCAGTGTTGGCCTTCTCTGATGACACCATCTCATTCACCATTACAGTTTTGTTATCTAGGAGGTGTTGCTCCACGGCGCAGTGGAATGCGGGCCCACACAGTATAGTCACTAGGGTCAGCGGCACACAGAACAGGAGCTTGCCGTGACCCCCCTCCCCCCCCCCCCCGCCCCTCATCCGCTCTCATAACCCGCCGTGTCAGCGCCCCTCCCCCCTCTGGTGGCCTGCTGCACACCCCCGCCCCCCTGCCCCACCCTTGTGATGCCAGTGTGCGCGCATGCACAGTTGCCACTCTACCGTTCCTGGTTTTTCTTCGCTCTGGGTTTCCGTAGTTGCGTTGCAGGTTCTTATCCTGCAGCGCTGTAATTTGTTACAGGTTAAGAAAAGAGTGACAAGCCCATATTGCCAAGCTCTTTGACCTCCGTGATTGGTGGTTTCCTCCCCTCCACTTGCCTCCTCTCCAGCACTTGCTCTGCTAAGTGGAAAGAGTGGGGGCTTCTGGGAAAAGCTTGTCCTGCTTTTCTGAACCTGCAGGTGGAAATCAGTCCTGCTGATTTCCAGTTTCTTCTGCTCTAGGAAGTGAAAGAGTGGGCTTAGCGTTCAAGGAGCTTAAAGTTGAAGGTTGCACCGTATTTGAGTGTTTTAGTATTGTTGCAAACGAAAACCCGCCTCTCCAACTGACGACAGCTCCCCCTGGAGCCATTTTGCATCGTCGGAAATTGACGAAAGCCGGGTGGCAGAGAGGATCAACCGGTTATGTAAGCAGTTTCATTCGTTCATGTGATATTGGCAATGGCGTTGTGCGTTGGTGCATTTCAATGAGCCCTTTCGTTGCAGTCATCAGGGAGCACAAGGAGAAAGAAGCGGTTCGGTTTTCGGACCTCCATCGAAGACTCCGCTCTCCGGTGAGCATTTTTGAAGCGTGCATTCACTGTGAGCTTAATGTCCCATAATATGAAAGACACATTTTCTGAGGCAGTTGATGCAGCAGGTGCTAAGCACTCTTAAATTTGGCCAGAGCCACTTTAGTTTTAGAGAAAGAATAGAATCAAAATTGGACCTAGTTTCTCACTCGAAGCAATGTATTGTAGGCCTTCCTGAAGTGAATCCAGCGAGGCCACCAAAAGGGTCACTGTGAAATGGGTCTTTGATATTGTTGGAGACTGTCCCTTCATGCAGAAAAAAGGACCATGCAGGTGTGGATGACCTTGTTGCCAAGAAATCTTTACTTTTATTCATTCCTGTGTGATGAGGAGGCAACGCCTGTAACCATACAATATGTGGCATAGGCAACGGAAGGCCGTTGGAGCTAAGAAGTCGTGCAGACGAATCTCTGGCCTCCTGTGTTCTAGAGATTGAATGTTTTGTGTATACAAAAAGGTCAGCTTGACAACTGCCTAGTTGCATTGTGCCATTTATAATGAGTATTTCTTGAAGCAGTTTTAATAATGATGAGAGATAACTTGCTCTTGAATACGTCCCAGGCTCTGTCTGCCATTATCTGTTTGCCTTGGGCTTATGTTGCATCTTTTTAAATTCATGAATGCCATCACCTGTACTGATAACCTTGGTGTGTTCTTCAGGCAGTCTCAATGCCCAAAGCTAATTTTTTGAAAAAAAAAAAATTGGGTTGTGTGTATGTTTATACAGCCTAGAACTTGGTCTGCCTCAGTGGGCGACAAGTCTCCCAACTGTAGATGAGCAATTTAGCCAGCGCGGTATAACCGCTAGCCTGGTGCCTTTAACGTGCATCACGCAGTAGTGATACACTACCGCACGCCAGTACAATGCTCATCCAGATCGAAACGGGCAGGGGTGGGGATCAAATTTTTTGAAAAGATAAACTGATACTGCATCTCTTTTTTTTTTTTTTGTAATTTGTTCCATGCCATTTTGTGTGATTTTTTCATGAGTACTTTCTTACGTCACCCCTCGGTGTAATGCCCACAGGGCATTGAGGGTATCAAATCAATCAATCAATTGAAGTGAAATGATCCCCACTGTCATTTTGCAGGCGTTGCAAGGTGTGCTGCAGAATCGGGCACTGGTGTTGGCCTTCCTTCTTGAGATGAAAGGCAAAGGGCCTGGTGGAGGGCAGTCATCGTCTGGACCTCCCAGCATGGTCAGCCACTTACGCCTCACATTCCATTGGATACCTATAGCTGGTCAAGGATTGGCTAATGTTGGATCAGTGTTTCTACCAAATGGCCAAAGTTCAGAGGAGCCGTCTTGACATCCCTGGAAGCAGTGCAGTGTTCTTCTGTGTCAAGAAGTTATACCTTACAAAGTAGTTAGGATATTACACATACAGATTCACACAGGTAGCACAAACATGCATTTTCTCAAATGAGTAAAAGGCTGCTGTCAAAACTACAAGTCAGTTTGTGAGATACTTGTGTGACGCTAAAATGCATAGAAAAATTTGGTATTTGATACTAACCTGCATGAATAAGTTGCGACAAAGTGCCAGTATCATATTTTGGCAAAATGTTTCACTCGGCAATCTCTAGGCGGAATTCCTAAAGGGGCATTCATACAAGGAATGCCTTTCAGGGAGGGATGTACGTGACGTCGGTGATCGGCGGAACCACTGCAACTCCCTCCCTGGCTCAAACGTTCACACGAACGGCGGGGAGCCAAGTGTGATGTCAGTGTTATCAGACGCATGTAGCGGTCACACACTCGACAGTGGGGCGTGGCTCGGTGCACGCTCACAGGAGTAGAAAAATGGAGGCGTACACGAGACGGCAATACGAGATTACGGCAGCGGTGCTGTTAGTTGCAAAAGATGATGAATTGCTTCCTGCTAATTTGATCGGCACTTTGAATGCCAATCAAATTCATGAACTGCGGCCAAATGCTTTATGGAGAGTAAATTTTTGTTTAAAAAACACATTTCTTAAATCTCACAATGACTCTTATCTAATCCCAGAAGAGGTCAGTGTAGCACATGCACTGAACTATATTTTCCGTATAGTCTGCAAAAACAAAATTTAAATGAAAAAAAAATTTTTTTTTCTTAGTAGGAATTAATAGGAAGCAATTCACCATCTTTTGCATCTAACAGCACTGCTGCCATAATCTCGTATCGCCGTCCCGTGTACGCCTCAATTTTTCTACTCCCGTCTGGTGAGGCGAAGACTAGGCATTTAATGCCTAGTCCTCACCTGATGCCTAGCTTGCACGTAAAAAGATACTCATACACATTAAACCTTGACAAATGTGCTTTATTAACTTGCAAAGAAGCTCGTATCTCATAGAGGGTGTTTGATCTTAATTTGAACAGATTCATTTTAAGAAATTTGTGAAAAGAACACTGATGCGGTTTGTGCAGGTGAATTCTACGGCCAGGACATAATATAGGGGTTTATCCCTCACATTACGTCAGATAATTAACTAAAATTTGTTAATTAACTTTTTAATTAGTGAAAATAAACAAATGGTTTTATTTAGAAACACTCAACTTTAGATAGACTTCAAGTACGTGGGAAGCACTGGGGTGCACTAAAGTTAAGACTCGGTACAAGGTTGACGGTGGGAAAACTCGGATGATAATCTAATCATCCTAAGACTGCAGATAAATGAAGGGTGTCAATTCCTTTCTGTTGTCTAACCCACTGCTGCTTAGGACGCAGCTTCATTCTGGCCCCGCACAACCTTCAAGGTGCGCTCGAGTTCCCGTTCCTCCTCTTAGTTGACTCGCGTAATTTCCCAAATGACACGCCACGTCTGGAAACCCTCTCGTAGGATGCCGAGCTCCTGCCCCTCTCACTCTCTCGGCCACACCCTCCGCAACCCGTCGCTGCTGCCACTCGTGGAAGGGAGCAACAAAGGTTATCGTTCGTCCTCACCGGCGAGCCTGCGGCCAGCCTGAGCACCAGTCGAGGTAACCGGCATTTCCCTCGATTCTATTGCACGCCCATTTGCGACATATAAGATTTCTAAAAAGTGAGGTTGCCACTCATTCGATCTGGCTCAACGTCCAGTTTATGCCTCGGCTGCTTTCTGGGAAATAGCCCGCAACGGCGCTGGAGACGAATGGGCACTTCGCTGCCCCTCGTATTGAAGAATCTCTGCTCTGCCCAAACGTCCATCACTCGTCACTTCCCTGCTTCACCAACACCGTCTAGAACAGTCTAAACCCGCAAACGGCCTTCCTTACACCCATGTACCTTGGTCACGCCTTGACGGCATCGATTGACCTTTCCGGAGAATCCCGCAAGACCTCTTACCAATCCCGCGTTGCACTGCACTGTGCGGGGAATTGTGGCGCCGTTTCGACGTATACGTCCGGGATGGTCGATGTGCTTTGGACGTCCTGGAAGTGGCACTGTTCCTTCTCTCTTACCACTGCGAGCTCAGAATAGAAAAAAAAAAAAAGAAAGCAGAGCAAACGCATCCCAAAGCCGACACATGCCACCTTTGTTGTCTACCCGCTTTCTTTGTGTTCTAAAATCGCGAAACGCTAAACAAACATCTTTATGGGTACTCCCCCATGTGCTGTATGTCGTATTACCGTAGTGCGTTGGGAAGGTGGTGGGAGGCGCCGCACATTTCCGGAATGGTATACTGGGCGCGAGCTCAACGCCGATCATTGATTGGACACGAGACCCTGTTGAACGCCGACACAGCACTCGTGTCCAATCTGTTGGTCGATCTTGTAATAACTTGTAATAATGGAAAGGTGGTGTTGGCTTCCCGTGATCTTGCGTTTAAGAGGAAAAGGGCCTCTCCAGTCGTTCGCCGCAATTTTGTAGCCCCCCTTTGCCTCGCGCCGACCACATCCCTTTGACATCTTCCAACTAGTAGTACTCTCGTGGGACATATTTGAGAACACGCGGCACTGGTTGAATTACAGATGTTGAAGATGGCGGGCATAGTAACCCAGTGATTCTGGGTTCGATTCTCTTTCAATCTGGATTAGTGTCATACGGCATGTGGTTATGTTTCACTACTGTGTGATGCACGTTGAAGACCCTTATCCTGGCTGTTGAGCTGCACTGGCTATATTTCTCATCTACAGCTGAGACACCAGACACCCGGTGAGGCTGACTAATTTCCGTCTGTCTAAACATACACGCGTCACAATTATTAGGATGTTTTGCAAGCCCACTGGCCTTAGTGCGTGCCATGTTTTTGTGGAAAAAAAAGTTATTTCAACCTTGATGTGCAGAATCTAATGACTGGCTCGATGTGCATTCTACAGAAAGCAGGCACACATTTATTTCGCATGCAGACTGTTCTCAAGAGGCCCCTGAAGGTTTTGTTTTGTCTTTTCAATCTCCAGGGAATGCAGATGCACATTTTTTTTTAGGGCTTGGGTGGCGACTTTTAACCCTTTCTGGTCATTGGGCATATTGAGCATTTGCCGTTGCACAATGCTCAAGTCCCCAACTCAGAAATGTGTCCCGCATGTATAGATGCATACGTTCTCTGTGCAGCCTTGAGGTTGATGTGCATATAGAAGAACTTCTGGACGTTATGGTGTTTAAATCGATAGCAACTTTATGTACACTATTTACAGTCAGAAAAGGGACATCGAAGCTAGGCAGAAAACGGTTGTAGCCGGCTCGTTCCCCCCGCTGCTCGTGCTCATCTGGTGGTGCTCGAGCCTTGGCTTGTTCAGTTCGCTGTTTTGTCGTCTTCTAGACCGCCGGGGAAGTTTTTACAGTGCATGCTTGAGGCCCACTGCTGGTGCTGCAGTCTTGTCCAGCTCAGTCTGACGCTTCTCCCAGGGCTATGCGCAAGCTACACGAAGTGCCGATTGTATCAGTCAGCACTTTGGGTAACTATGACCACAAAAGGTTATTAGGCATCAGCAGTGTTAAGGCTACTTGTGGTTATATTTTCTCTAAACTGACATAAAGAAAGGAATCAAAATAAAATGGGAGGGCACCTACCGTAAAATTTTTTAAGAATGCCCACCGAAAATGAAAAGATTTACATGTTTATTTATTTATTTAATTACTTACTTACTCTCAGGGTCAAAAGACATTACAGGGAAGTAGTAAACAGATAAACAAACAAAACGACAGAAATACTTATGGTACATCAGAAAACAAGAAAAACGGCATTTTTGAAAGCATTTGGGTCAGGTAAGGTTGAGGAAGCTGGTTCCATTCCTCAGAAGTGCGAGTTCCCAGCTTGCACTTCTGGTAAATGGTGAAAAATATCGGGTGGGCAATTCTTAGAAATGCGACAGCAAAATTTTATTAGAGATTGGTGATAAACACCGGGGATCCTTACGGGCCACGAAATACGGGAAATGATACTGCAAATCGTGGGCACAGCAGATTGCCATTTTATGTTGCGGTAGACCTGCGAAGACCCGCTACAAACTCGCGTGTCACAAAAACTCGTATCGTGAATGCAGATTATGGACAGAAAAAAGCGTAACTAGCTACAACTTGCATGTCACGGGAACAGATACCGCAGATCGCTGGTACTGCAGATCGCGCAGTTGATGCAGTTCCCTTGGACATCACGTGATGTCCAACGGAAATTGACGGTGGGCAATGTTTCAGAATTTTTATGTTACAAATATTTAGCCAGAAAAACTGGATGGGTGATCCTTGGGGAGGGCGCTTGTACGGGATTTTTGTGGTATTGCAAAATAGTTATAAAAATTGATGAACCTACGACGGCCCTCGGCTCGAGTATGTGGATTTTATTGTTGGCTTATACAAACCTTTCACCAGGTATGATGCCATTAAAAAAAGATATGTCAATTAGTTTTACTAACTTTTGCTTACAAGAATAATTGTGCTCACAGTGCATTGGCTTTTTGTGAAGCAGCAATGGCATACACCATCTCGCAGCAAAGAAACATTGTGGAATGATTTAAAGGTACTGCGTAATGTCTCTGGGTTCTGAGCTTCATGTAAAGGTATGCTAGTATGAATTTAATCTTTGTCTTTATTATTTTGTTTCCGACAAAGGTAGCTTTGAGCGTGCACTCGCGGCCCAAGCACGACAGAGGTATAAGAGTGCATGCCAGCAGCTGGGCATTCGAAATAGACATCCTGCGCTTCTCGTCCTTTCAGTGGATGTAAATATATATTTAAACTATTCTTGAGTAAAAATTTAAAACTTGCATTCTCAGGACGTTATTGTTGAAAACTTATAATCTGAAATTATTTTGAGCGTTTACAGAGGGCTTATTTCGTTTCTGTCGGGAGCAGGTCAAAATTGACTCCCAAAAGAGTTAGCTCGAATTTACGCACGTGCCAATTTTATTATGACGACAACCGGGGGGCTGACATAACTGAGCGGCTTTAGAGTGAAGAAATTGTGCTTGTTCGCTTGTTCAGGTAAGCCGATGAAGGAATCGATGGTAAAGTGTCGCTCCGCAGCTTGAAGCACATGAAGTGAAAGCTTATGCAGCGCAGAACCCAGGGGTCCTGGGTTCAGCCCCCACCCCAGCCTGTTTCGATTTGGATGACCGTCGTGCCGGCGAGTGGTCAGATATCACTCACTACTGTGTAATGCACGTCAAAGTCCTCAGGCTGGCAGGGGTACAGCACTGGCTAAGTTTTTCGTATGCAGCGGAGCCACCAGACGCCAACTGGGGTTGACTAACTTCTTGCTGGCTAAACATGCAGAGACGACAGTTACAGGCGAGCTGGTCGAGATCCCGCACCCAGAGTTAAAAACTGGGGCGCAGCCCGCTTTATCTGTTGGGGAAAACATTGCCTCTTTTTTGTTACAGCGTCCAGTGCGCACGAGCTGGAGGTGGTGCAGGGGGTTGTGTACTCCCTCCAAGGCGTGAGCAGCTCTGTGGTGCAATTCTGCGACGCCCCGTCGGAACTAATTGTGGATCCAGAGGTGGGGCTCCTTTTGTTTTAGATGACCGCGCAGCTTTCAACTTTTGTCGGTTTTAGTTGGTATTCGCGACTCCAGCGGCCTATAGGGGGCGCCACCACCAAACAAACATGGCGGCTGAGTCCAGGTCGCGTCGGCTCGGCCGGGCCGCCTGAACAGGTGGTGCGTTCAATTGAACAGATTTTCTTTTGTTTAATGCCCAATTTTATAGGTATTTGAACTGAGACGGTTCAGTGTGGCCGGTGCATATAAACTTGCAGAACATAATTTTGTTTTCCAAGTGTTTTTTTTGTTCTTTTCATGTCAAACTTTTGTTTCGGAGATTTCGTTCGAAACCGAAACTATGGGCTTCTGGAGAGACGGTAATATACTAATCAGTTTTGCTCATCTGAGGAAAGCGGCAATGACAGCAGAATTCTCCCAGCGGCAGTAATTTTCAGCCAACTCGCATGCCTCGACCATGCGACTTATCTGTTCGCGAAATCGGGCTTTTGTGCGTATCCGCGTTTAAGAAACAGCTTCAGTCGTCTGCTCGGTCAACAACAGAGGCTGCAGGAAAATTACGAAAATTAAGCAAGCGCTTCTTGAGCCAAGGAGCATGTTAACTTGCCGGCGCCCCACTAAGCAGCTGATACTGGTATTTCAATTCAGATTTTAGTAACGATCGAGAAGTCATTTTGACGTACTATGTCCCACTAAAGTGATATTAGTATATTCTTCGGGTTGAAATATGAGCTTAGTTGACTAGCTATTAGGGTGAACTGCTGAATAAAAATATATTTGACAGACAGAGAGATACTAAGTTAAACTTAGCCAAATGGTTCTAGCCGGTAGCACGGAGACGAATGCGGACAAACTGAAGAGAGTCAATTCATTGGAGAATCACGCAGAACCTCTCTGCACTGAACTTAAAGGGACCATGAAATGATTTTAAAATCGAGTTTCATCCACCGCACGTCGTAAAAGGTGTGAAAAGGAACACAAAAACACAAAAATAGGGAGCCCAAAAAAATTATTTGCTATAGAACTTTTAAAAGAAAACTGGACTCTTTTGCGCCTTCCTTCCTTCGCCTGTTCACTACGATGCATCCGCGGAAATGGAGCACGTCGGCCAAATCCAGGTCGCCTATTGGTTAAGAACCTACCTCACCAGCACCGCGATCGTAAACAATAAATAGCCGGCGAATGTTTCCTAAAAGTTTTGTTAAATAATATTCAGATCCACATTTTGTAGCATAATTAGAGATGTTGGCGAAAATTGCCAAATTTGATAATGCTGAGCCAAGCGCCATCTATTGTGTGGTAAACGAAGCAACTACTGCGCGTCCGCAGTAGGGCAGGGCCGACAGTTACTTGGGTGGCGGCGACCACGACCAACTGAACTGACGAACGTTTATTTTCTTTGTTTTCCTTCCTCTCAAAACTCTGACTGACTGAACGTTTATTTTTCTATGTGTTCTTCCCGCGCGTGCCGACTTCAAGCAGCAAGAAAACAGTACTTAAAACAGACCACGACGAACAAGAACGCTGGATCCACCGACTCCGACGAAGCGAGCTGCTCAGAAGATAGGCCTAGCAGGCATTCCGACTCGGCGCTGCGTTGCTTCGTCGCAAGACCATCTGCCTACGACCGGCTCGCGTGCTAAATGGAATATGCCCGCGCGACCCTTGTGGACCCTTCCCGTATTATAGTTTGATCGCTGACCTCAATTCTAGATTAAGAGGTGAGGTCAATCTCTTCCCCTTGTTTTCCGAGGCAGTGTTGACGAACACTCGTCGAAAAGGGACTCTCGTCGATTCTATCTTCTTGTTTTGTGTGATATAGAGCTGAAATAAACGCCGTATGGATTACCTTCGTAACACGGTATGTACACTTTGTTATTGGTATGCCATTTTTATTCTGACAGACTGCACGTCACTGTCGAGCTATAACAGTTCGCGTACAACCCCGGTCCAACCTTTCTTTGCCGAGTGTCGCGTCAGTATCGAGTTGCAGTTGTAAAAGAACGGTCCCGAAGCGCTTACAAACAGCTCGAATATAGCACTTCCATCAAGCGCGCGCGCGTCCGCTCCGAGTGTAAACAGGTATTTACGTGGCTCTTGCTGACACTCATAGTTCAAACGTATCTTTTTTAACGTCGGCTCGCTCCTGCATTTCCGAGGCCGTGAAAAACGCCATCTACGTCGCTTTGCAAACAACTGACACAGGCCGGCCCTTCTGCCAACAATGACAGGGTGGTTGACTTCTGGAGTCTTCACCGGAAGACTCGCTGCACTTCCCAACAGGCATACCGGCGTATGGGACTAGTCCCATGCTGTCGCTGTAGCGCAACATATCTCATTGAATTTCGCTCAGCTGCGATGCGGCGATGAGAGGCGCCGATTCAGGAAATACGTCGGTGACATCAGCGCAGTAAAACCTACCGGCGCACCCCAACTCGTTGCCGCTAACGCTCCCATTCTCCTACTGCCGAGAGAACTTCCGGTTCCGGAAACGGCCTACGTCACGGCTTCTTTTGCGGTCAGTTGGAGAGAATGAAAAAGTCGATATTTCAATAATTTTTTGTGTAGAAGTTAATAAACCGAGACGAAAACGGATGCCTGTTCGGCATTCAGTGAACATTGACAGTTTAATGTAAAAGTTATCTGGAAAAAGTAAAAAGGTCATTTCATGGCCCCTTAAAAAATTTACTCACCTTCGCCATCTCGTTTGTGCCTTGAGATTTTGTTTGGGGTGTGAGGCGGACACCTTATTCGCTAGTCGTCGGAAGAGTTGGCATGGACCAAGGTTGTCAGGTCGTGAGGACCGAGATTTTTCTTCGTCGCACGACACTTTTAGTTTGAGACTGGTTAGTCACCGGTTAAAAGATATGCTACTCAAACTTGGTAGATGTGGGCACCTAATTGAAGTCGTTTTTTAAAAAGAAGTTGTGTGGGATATCGCGGGAAAGCGTTTCCACCCGCAGCCTGCGCCAAGAAACGGCCGGAAACGCGAAGGCATTACGGCGGAATGTCCTGTCCAAATTCCTGTCTGCCTCGCATCGCCCGTTTCTTAGAAGGGCGGCGTGCGTATGCCAAAGAGATAACAAACCTCCGAAACTCGTTACTGGGGACCGCCGGATTGCCTGTACACTCTTGCCCACCGAAGTTCTACCGTATGGGTTGCTGCCCGTAACTTTCGTCCTCTCTCTCTCTCTCTTTTTTTTTGTTGTTATTTTGGTATTTATCCTGAACGGAAAAAATGAGTATTTTTGTGGCCGATCAACCTGAGCAATGTAGACGTATATTGCTGCTGGTTTAATTCGACGGTGGTATAATATAAATATTGGAGGTGCGATAGACCAAAATGCCGTGACAGCTTTAACGTTGCGAGACTCGTCCCCCACCTTTTGAAAACAGATAATTTCCCTCATTCTTCATTTGCAGCGAGCAGGCTTTCATGAATCAAATAATTGCAAAATCAGCCCAAATCCTTCAGAGCGGTCCAGAAGATTTTCCGGCAAAAAGCAGCCAAGATGAATAGCCAACGCACCGACCGCCGTGGGTGGCTCAAACTTGAATCCAATCGAACACAACCAAACTTAAGGAAAGCAGCTATCGAACCTTCCCATTCACTTGACTGCAGCATCGGTGTTCCCTTCAGTGAAATGCCTCGTCTGTCGTCCTCCCACTGTTCTACATCCGTATAAAGAAACCCCTTATCAGTTACCAAGTAGTCGTCACTTTGAATGTGATTCGAGACAGACAAGAAATAAAAACGTTTTTCCGTGATTCCTTCCCATCCAAGAAATCGAAAACACGTGGTGGAAGGAAGCAATCTACTGAGGCTTCGCCACACTAATGAACACTCAGGCAAACTTAAGAAATTTTCGGACCTTCGTGAAATTACACTGTTCGCCATCGTGCTGACAACACGTGTCCGCGAAAGCCACCAGAGACGCGGAGGGGTGCGGAACGACCTGGACCGGCTGGTTCCCGGTTTTCCCGTTTGGTGGCGTCCGTTTTGTTGGAGTCGCGAATAGACTCGAGGTTTGCAATGTTTATGAGAGCTTGTTGGCCATACTTGGGCCACAAAATTTTAACACAGACTGTGTTTTGTCGGCCGATTTTTATGGAGTTCTATAACGGCCAACGAAAAAACTGACACTGATAAGCGTTACGCCCATGGGGAACCATAGCAAAAGACTTTAGTCCTTTGGGAGGATTTGAATTCGCCACCTTGAGAAGATTGTGTGCCAAGTGCTTTGCCGACTGAGCTATCCAAGCTAGATGGTATGAACCACTCAAAAGCAAGCTCATTTCGCAGCACGTGAATGAGCATGACAGAAAAGGGCGTTTCGAGGCCTTTTCTTTCCCACTGCGCCATCTCGTGGCATGTGTCAGAAATGAGAGTGGATTTTCGTTAGCGCTGCCATTCCGATGCCCTTTCTTCCCTGGAAGGCATATTGCATATTCTGTGCTTACTAGTGTCTTTTTCAGCATAGTAAAGCTTGTATAATTTTTTTTTAGCTTAGCTAAGGAGGTTTAGTGTCCTGTAGCAGAATGTGAGATGGAAGCTCTCCCATAAAGTAATTCTGTTGGTTGTTTCTGCCCTCGAGTGAAACATGAAACTTGTTTGCATATTACTGTTAGCAGAGTTTGAAAGCTTCTGAACTACTTCGATTGCGTGCTGCAGACCTGTAGGTGGTCTAGAATAATACCCAATCTTCTGCTGGGGCGTGCACTTTGTTGGTCTAGCTCGTGTCTAAGCTGTTTTATTTCTCAAGTGTTGAGAGGAATGAAGAATTTTTCTGCTGTCCTCCTCGAGGTAAAAAGGTTTTTGAGTTCCCTAGGTAGACAAAAGAACCGTGAGTTCTTAACGATGGCTGTCCACATTTAATGCAACATGAACAAAGATATTTACAGCAACGTTTCGAGAGATAGCTCACCTGAAATCGAGGGTGAATCGAGTGAAACATGAAAGTAACGGAAATGGGCTAGCTTTCGAAGTTCAAGCCCGAAAGAGTAAAGCAATAAACATACCGTAGTCGGTTCCCGTCATAACCCGCTTACATAACTTGTCGGGCGTGCTATCGAAAGGGGAAAGCTCGTTTACAGTCTCCGACTAATTTTTAAAATGTCTTTGTGGGACTGTTACTCATCCCATAGATTTAATGTTGCTGCACTTTCCGGATTTTGTTTTGAATCATTTATCGGCTAGGCTGTTGCCATGAACCGAGTTGCCTTCATTTTACCTCTATGTTGTAACCTCGATACCATATTACTCCGGATTAAGGCTACTAGCAACCTCTGCTAAAAGAAAAAGCTGGAGCAGCAAGTTCGCCTGCCAGCTTTCTTGAGCAAATCAGATTTTGTTTGTGCCTGGCAATTTGAAGACGAAGCCGTGAAAGTAGGTTACAAAGCGTGTGATCAAAATTGCCAATGGTTGGACGTTTCGGTTTCGTTATGGCTGCTGCAGCTGCCATTCATCCCCATGACAGTCATGGCACGACTGCTAATCTTTTCATGTCCTTTGTATGCGAGTGCAGTTTGCCAATATGTCTACTGTACCTACTCGACTGTAACGTGCACCGTTTCTTGGATACGATACCGAAACCCAAGAATAGTTATAAAAACTGGGCGCATGTTAGAACCAGGCAAATACGGTAATGGCAAAGTGACCTCGATTGGCTGAGCATTGTTTTCGAACGGTTCCAAACAACGCGAACGAAGGCCCAGACAAAAGTGGCAAATTTAGCAAGATGACTTTTCAAGAAAGTTGCCCCATTACTGCCAAGGTCACCTGGGCTGTGCGATTCGTAGGAGTGGGCTATCTTCTAGTGTTTTGCATGAAGAGAAAATCATGCCTGAAACCAGGATCGGCTATGTTTTGAGAGGCGTATTTCTCGGGATATTGTGGACATGGAGCACCAACACCGGACACCACCTTTCCCCTAGGGCGTGGTGCCGTCAGACATGCGGTCTTTGACGGGCCGCTTGACGGAGCTTGGGGTGCTGGTGCGACGGATAGATGGCTTCTGCAAGAACAAGCAAGCGAGGCGAGGCCTGCTCTCAGACGCACTCGTGGGCGCTCTCCAGACGGAGCTGACCGAGTACTACCGCCTACTAGCCCTGCCGGACGGACAGGCGAGTGGGCCTTGCGAAGCGATTATGGTGGCGGCCATTTGTGTACACTTTTAAAAGATTGTGCGCTTCGTTGTACCTCTTCACGGTTAGAGGTACCGAAGGTTTATTCCAGGTGTGTTTATTACCACCAGGTGTTACGTGTTGGGGAATTTAGATATATAATATAAAGGTTTTTATATGGGGTTGTGTAAGAAACACGGTGGGCATTGGGAGCCTGGCGATCGACGAAAGATCGACTCAAGGTAATGATTGACCGGGCACCGGTCAATTGTGGCTTTACACAATTGCGTGTGACGCCATGACTGACCGGTGCCCAGTTGGGTCCGGTCATATTTCACACACATCGTGTGACCTGACAAGCATTTGTTTATGCTAGTGTATGACTCGATCCGGCCTCTAGGGGCTATCACCCGTTCGGGGCCACGGAAAAACCTTCGCAAACGTGCCATTTTGCAATCACAGTTGAGCTGCGGTGCACTTCCAGAAAGTGGTCTTGGCGGGGCATGTCAAGGCTGCCGCACAGGTGGTGCAAGCGCATTCGGCTCCAGGTGGAATGCGTCAAGAAGATAGGGAAATCTGCCCATCTCTAAGCGGCCGGTAGCTGCAGCAAAAACGTGAAGCATAAATGAGTATAGTCCATCCCTCGTACGTGCTCCAATGTACCAACAGCGAGGCAACTTGCTAATTAGCCGTCACTTTAATCGCTGACAAGGAAAAACGTCAGGGAGGAGAGTAGTAAGTTGGGCGAGTTGGTAAACGTTGAACATGGTTAAAATCGCGCACAAAGAGACGAGGACAAACGAGGAAGAACACAGAACACAGCGCGCCTGTCTGTGTTCTGTGTTCCTTCCTCGTTTGTCCTCGTCTCTTTGTGCGCGATTTTAACCATGGTCAGGGAGGAGCCTCCGTCCCGCCTCCAGCAAAAGCTTCCTATCCTCGACGACGCTTCAACCTCTCGTGCATCTTGAGCGGAGGCGTTGGGCGGGCACGTTATGATTAGATTACTGTTATTATTACAATTGGTGACGTATGCACGGGGTGGGTGCAGCAATATGATGGAAAGGGATCATTGTGTGCTTGGAGTTAAAGCGCTGCTTTTTCTCGTTTGTGGCCGTTCAGATCCAGGGAGCAGGAGAACCGGCGGACGGTGCGGCACGCTACCCGCTTACCCTGCATAGTCTGACCGTGATGATGATGGAGCCCTTGGCCACGCTCAGGGTTCTGGCCAGTCTGGTGAAGGCTTGCCAAGGTGAGCATATATTGTGTGAATTCGCGTGCCACCACCGGCGAGCCTGCTCCCACGTGGTGTGCGGCCAAGCAGACCGGACAGGGTCCATCCGTTGACTCTGTGCTCAAAATATAAATCAAACACATGCATGCATGGAACAATTGAGGAGCGGAGTTCCGCTCCTATTTATTGAACATTCAATAGGCACAAGGCCATCTATGTCTATCGATAGCGCATGGGCTAACTACGGCAGCAGTACAATTGTCCCGCTCCACGCTGTTCAGAGAAAGCTATAAGCCTGATCTGCGGGCCAACACCTGTCGTACCCGTGGCGTCCGCCATCAAAACACCGTTCCTGCGCGACCTTGCACTAGCCCAAGTCCTATGCTGATGTCCCGGGGGAAAGAGATGGAAGCACCCCCCTGGTGCGCCGTCTTTTATAGCCGATTGGCGAGGGGGTTTCTCCCAACCACCGTCGGAGGGCACCGAAGTGCCCTCTATCGATCAGAAGGGAGAACGAAGGTCAAAAGGCGACTTCACTCTTCCGAATCACCCTGCGAGCACGAAGCCAGGGAGTCTGGCGCCTCGTGAAATCGTGGGGCACCGCAATATAAGCGAGGAACATATAGAGCGCTCACCCCAGCAAACTTCCGAGCCCACCGAGCCGACCGAGGTATTCGTCCGTCGGCTGCTTCTCTGAGAAGCCGGTGCAAGGCGGTGGAGCTTTATGCGTTTGCGTCTGTGCGAAATGTTGAAGCTCTTTGCGAGAGTGCCGGCGTGAAGCGGACTTAAAGAGAGCGGGTTGGCTGCTTTAAAAACGACGAGCTCCGGCTTATGTTAAAAAAAAAACCTTTGGGGGGCAGGCTGTGCTTGGGCTTGTGTTTGGGCTGGGCTCATGCTGGGCCAGGGCCGGGTTTGTGCCCGGCTAGTGCTGGGCTCTTGCCAGGTTTTTGCTTGGCCATGCCAGGCTTGGCAGAACCCGCCGCCCAGTGCAGTGCTCAAACAAATAGGTCTTAAAATTCAACTGCAAAAGATTGGTTCCCTCACTCCTTCAGGTACAGTTGCTTTTCGCATGTATGAAGCTTTTCATGTTCAGCTGTTTTAGGGGCGAAGCTCCTTAGGGTCTAGCTTTGTCCGTCCGGCATCCATGCTCACATCAATTGCCATCCCATCTGTCTTCTTGCAAAAAGAAAAAATGTTTGCGCAGTCCACAGGATTCAAACCTGTGCGCCGAGACCCCAATGGATTTCTAGTCCATCGCCTTAACCACTCGGCCACGACTGCGGAACGAGTAGGGGCCTCTGAGATGTGGTAGTAACTCAAGAGCTGGGAATGTGATGGATGAAACGTTGCATGTAACCGCTCAACGTCTATACAGCAGAGGGCACTGCGGTCAAATGCATATATAATCGCGGTGAAATTTGCATGCATTGGCTCAACGTTTATAAACAAGAGGGCGCTGCGGTCAAATGCTCAAATGCCTGTATAACCATGTTCCGTAAAATCAGTATCATCAGCACCACCAGAGCTTCGCCCCAATCAACATCATTCACCACGTGGAGGTGCGGTCATTTTTTTTGCTTTTAAACGATTGTTATTATTGATGGGTATAGTTTATCATACAATATATCTCTGGTACTTGAAATCAACCTTTCTGTTGTTTAAAATGGGCTGCAATGAGCCCTTTCTAAGAGGAGGCAAGTGATCCTGGTTACTGTACTTTTCTTTTGTGGTGCTACTTATACCACCATTATTATTGGAATTTTTGTTGGCACGTGTTTTGGGGTTACAGTGATTAGTTCCACTCTATTTTTTCATTAATTTAATCATCAACAGTTTTGTTTTCTCGTTTGCATACTATTTTTTATAAATGCATGCAGCCTTCTATGAATGTTAATGTCTTTTGTGTAACGCGTTTCAATCCTTTTTTTGCTGCAACTCCTGAGATAACTCCTTGACCCCTCACGCACACCCTCCACTATTCGTGAGGCAACTCGCATAAAGTAAAATAATGCAGACTTGTCGCACCGTCAAAAGACCTGAAACTTGTAGGTTAAATTTTAGGCAACAAGTGGACCACAAGCTCTTGTATCCGCTCCGTCGCTTCGTCTCGGCAGCAGCCATGGCGCGTCAGCAAGGCACGCGCGTCCGCTCTTTGATGGGCAAAACAATTTATTAACTTTGTATTAATTCTAAGTTCAGTGAAACCGATAACGATGAAGTATCTCACCTATAACAGGCTTGTTTACGCAAGGTGTCGTGAACGCGATTGTTGAGCACACAAACTTTTTCCAGCACCAAGTACTTGCCACGTTTTTGTCGATGGACCGATCTTGTACGCACCAGTGAAGAGACGTGAATTCTACGTATTTCTGGATGTCACGATCCTGACAGCGCATCCAAGGAAAGAACCTAAAGGGTCTGCTGAACCAACTCGCAAATAAAATCCTGGCGGGGGTTGCGGAGTAGTCACAAAAAGCTTACAGTGAAAAGGTCAAACAAATGGCTTTGAAGGAATCAAATGAAATTTTTGAAATATTTATTTTTTTTAGTTGTGTCTTAAAAGCACAACATGCCCGACCCAGACTTGTACCAAATACCCCCGAAGAGTATTCTAGTTATGTTACTGAGTATCAGGCCTAAAATAGAATCTGGGTAGGGTATGTATCAAATACTCAACTCTAAAAAGTGTCTGCACAGAGAACTAAATACTCAAAAAGTCACCGCTTTTCCGTACTAGTGTGGCAAAGTAACACAGAATGTGATGAGTTAGTGTGGAGAAACTATGTTCACATGTGGAGACTGGATGACAAAGCGGCACTATGTCGTGCAAGGTAAGTGTGTGAGCGCTCCGTGGATGTCTTACGTGTGGGTGCCATGTCCTACGGTTGCAGTGTGACTGCTATTTTCTCGGAGCCCGTAGGAGTGTGAGACGCAATAGACAGAGCGTGCTGAAAACAAAACAATCGGAACGCAGCAGTGCTGATTAGAGCCCTTGCACCAGCTCGCGGCAAAAGAGAACCAAACACTCGAAAATCCCTCAACCCGTTGCAACAAAAAAGTCTGTTTTTTTGTTTGTTTTTTTGTTCTTTCTTTGGGGAACCTCTGAGCACTCTTGTTTAACGGAGCAAAACGCCGCTGTGTGTCTGAACAAGTGATCTTTTACCCCACCGGGAGTAACACGTAGGCACTCGAGGAAGAGGTTTGACTGGCACTTGTGTTCAGTCAGTGAACAGGCGAGTGCTGCGTCAGCGCGTTTGGCTGGCGGTTGGCCCATCGACTCCCATTGTTGGCACCTAACCAGATATGGTTAGGTCCCAGCCATATAACACACTCTGCACTTGAAAGGAAGTCATTACTACTTTCAAGATTCTAGTCTCTAGTTACAACTTTTCTTACAATTCAGTCAAACTAAGTACCAAAAAAGCGAATATAAAATCACAATTACCAGAAAGCTTTTTCTGCTAAGAAGCGAGTATAAAACCGTAATTGCCAAAAAAGTCTTATTCTCTTTCAAAACAACTGTTTCTCGAAATTTCTGTCCAGCAGCTTGCCCCTTTTCACTCGAGCACGGAACTCTGGGATACCGGAGACGAAACGGTCGCAGTCGCGGAGTGCTTAGCCAGAACAACCGAGGTTGATTAGTTTTCAGACCGTCCCCCCTTATGTAAAAAGGGGCGGAAGAGATTTGTAACTAATCAAGAAGTTACTGTAAGTTACTCACGAAAAGTACCCAAGTACAAAGTACTGACTTTTTGAAAGTACTATTTGTAATCTACCAAGTTACTTTCAGAAGCATTTAAGGATAAAGTAACTCTAGTAGAGATCAAGTGACGTCTGTTCCGACCACAGGTCTCAAGGGGGGCATGCTGGCATCCCGGATGCACGCTTTCCTGGCTCATGGGGACCCTCAAGTCAGCACCCTGGTGCGGAGGCTTCTCGTTGCGGTGAGCTCCCGTTGTCGATGCGGCCCACATTTGCTAGATGCACGGGTACATGGCTGCCATATTTCTTATTTATGAACATGAAACCTTTGGCTAGGTGTTCGGCATTTTGTGAAGCCCAAAAGTGAAGCCTGGATGAAAGCGTGGCCGTGAGGCTCGACACTGGTTGGTTGATGGGTGGGAAAGGAGGAGTGAGGTGTCTGACACTGATTGGTTATCGGGGAGGTCATGTGACCAAGGGTAGAGTGAGGAGGAGAGTTAGGCGAAGAGGCAAGGAAGATACTGGAAGATCACCAGGTTTACCATTTCATGTGTACACATGCCACGCCTTAAATTATCTGACAAAGAGTGCAGTGAATGTAGCCCTCTGGCTGAATGGGCTAGACGTGTTGCTAAATGATGATACAGTAAACTTGCATTAAGGGAGGACACTTTCCAGAAAAGTCAACTTCTGTACCGCTTGCTTTATTTAAATCAAATTTGCAGTGGATGTTTATATGAGGGGCAAGCCCATCCCTGCCAAATTTCATTGTTGTATGTCAATTCTGGAACTTGTTACTAATGTTACAATATGGAAGTCAGTGTGTTCGCTTAGGAAAACTATTGTTTAAAAATAAAATAAAAATCTGTGATTTTTATGTGTAATATAGGAATATCCATAGCACATACCCAGCTAGTTATTTTGCTATATTGCATTGTTGTTCATAAATATAACTCTATAAGAAGATAAATTTTTTTTTTTCATGTCTGCACTTTTTTACAAATGTAGTTTTTTTTGCATAAAAGAATGTTAAAGTAGAAAAACTAACCAGCGAGGCATGTTCCTCACAAAATTCTATCTCAGCGAACCACCTAAGAATAATTCTCTATTGTGTGATAACAAAACAATAGTTTTCCTAAAGTGAAATTTATGCCGAAAAGTGGAACGGAGAAAAATGCATTCAAAGTGCTCCAACCCATACCTTTTCTTTAGCATCGGTGGACCGAAAATAATTTATAATTAAAATAACTATGCAGTGCAAACTAATGAAACTTTTTGGAAATACTCTCTAAATGTCAATGGATGTACAATATGGCATTCTTTCAAAATCAACTTTTTTTGCAGAAATCGTTTTTTCTGGGTAGCTTTTCCCCCTTAATTCGACCTCAACGGGACCTTGAAATTTGGTCAAATTATCTAAATTATCAAACTAAAAGAAGGACAGAAAAACGGTTAAAATTAAACTTCCTTTTATTGTCCTAAGTACTCACGGATGGTGTGGTGCCGTCTGCGCTTAAAATGCGTGTCCAAAGTCATGCTCCAGAGAGCAGCGATCTACCTCAGCGCGCACTCAGCATTTTCCTCGTCGGAAATGTACAGCTCAACAGCCTGAAGACACACTCAAGCGGTCGGATGGGGTACTTTCGGCAGTATCCTCTCCTCGCTTTCATCTCCTACAACCACCCAGCACCTCCTAGAAATAAGGCCGTACTGCTCTTATGGGGACGTCGCAAAGGAAGGCCATCGGGGGCACTCGTCGAAGCGAAGACAAAGCTCGTGGATCGACCGTCGTAACGCGCTTTTCGTCACATGCGCGTGTCTTATCAGATAAAATGAAAGCTGCACATACCAGCAGGTCTAGAAAACATTTTATTACACGGGCAAATTATTACACCGCTAAATAATCAGTACGAAATGGCACGAGGTATGTGTATAAGACGTCTATAGAAAGATGTGATTGTTTGAAGTCGGAAACATTTTGTCACGCAATTATTGCTGTAGGAATGCATATTTTATATAGAAATACTTCGACAAAAAGATCACAGTTAAAAATAAGGTAGACATAGTCAACGCAGAATCGGCTAGACAAGTGTCATTTACCATCATGTAAGCGATGTTGTGTTATCATAGTCAACTGGGAAAGTTTCATTTCCCTTGAAACAACGTGGCTTGGACGCTTTCCCCAGAACGAGCAAGCAGCACCGCTCGGTTTCAGACATGGTGGCGGCTATCAACACAATTAGTTGCTCTTTGTTGTGCTTTTCGTTGGCGCACACGTCGTCCTTGAATGTTATCATTTTGTCCGGAAGCATTTTGTAGTAAACAGCAGTTTCATCTGCATTGAAGATGTGATCTGGGGGGTATATCCTCAAAATGTCTTGAAGCCGGTCGTTTTACCAATACTCGCACACGGCAGGATTGACATCTGCTTGCTAGCCGCAGATTGTTTGGAATGTGAGCTGGTGCCGACTCTTGAACCTTGACAACCAACCATCTGAGCAAATGAAGTCTGGGGCATCGAGCATGCTTGCAAATACTCGAGCCTTTTCGCAGACAAGAGGTTCGCTGAGAGGCAAGTTGTGGCTTCTCATGTCACGGATCGACTGGAGCACAGCCTTTTCGACGTTCAGGTGCGCCGACGTTCACAGCTGTTTCCTTTCTTGGTCGAAGTGCTCTTGTGGCTTCTCATGTCACGGATCGACTGGAGCGCAGCCTTTTCGACGTTCAGGTGCGCCGACGTTCACAGCTGTTTCCTTTCTTGGTCGAAGTGCTCTTTTTGTTGAGCCTCAATGATCTTTTTCTTGTTGGCGACCAAGGTGGCAAGCATGCTTTTCTTCAAATGATACTTGTCTGCCATCTCCTTCCTCGATACACCCTTCGCAACCTCTTCAAGAATGGCCATCTTTGTGTCAGTGGACATCGACTTGTAGTTCCCGCGTGATGCCATCTCAAGTCAACCAACCGTTGCCTCTCCGCTAAATGAAACTGCCACTGCTGCCGCAACATAACCGAGCTCGGCCTTTGTTCTAAACTCAGCCACTCAGCATCAACCGTGCCGTGTGCAATAGAAGCGAAAATGTTCTTTTGCGCAACGTAACTAAACATCACATCCCCGAAAAATGCACACTACAAAAAAAGAAAACGAAAAAAGGAAGTTTTACGAGTTGACTTTGGTGCCAGACAACCAAGCCGTCAAAGAAAAAAAAAACAAAGGAAAAAAAAAAAAGAGAATTTGTGTTTTCCAGCGCGCAGGATGGACCATGCACGATGCTACAAAAAAGTGCATTGAGAGTGTGCGCTGAGGAAGCTTTTTGAGCCAACTTTGGTGCTGTGCGGCCAGGCCGTCAAGAACAAAGAAAAATAACAACAAAAAAAAGGAAAAGAAACCGCGTGCTTTTCGGTGCACAAGATGGACCACACATGACGCTACAGAAAAGCGCTTTGAGAGCGCGCACCACTGGCTGTCTCCGCGCCTGACCACGTGCTATGTTCTCTGCGCTACCCCACGCCAGATTGGTTGCGCTGGCTCGTGTCACTTGCTACGGTCCATCTCAGTGGCGTAGAGGAACAGGCACATATTTGCGCACGTTCGGCTTTGCAGCAAAGGGCCCGTGTTTTGCCGTATGTTGGTGGCTTTTCTGCCGTGGTGCCGTGCAACGTGATCCCGCGTGCATTCACTCGGGACGAATTATCTGATGCGGAGTTTTCCCGAGTTCAAACTATGGAACTTTCCCTTCCATAGAAATGTATGGGTGCTCGCTGGGACTTTTGAACACGATCAAATTAAATGAAAAGTCGAATTAACCGAGGTTAAACTAACGAAAGTTTACTGCATATACGTTTGTAATGCTAGAATGTTTCACGTATGCAACACTATTGCCTAGCAATTTGCCATACATTTTTTTAATGCATTTTAAATACCCTCAGGGCCATGAGGGCATTACAGAGGGGAGCTGGTGCATAGGTCACATGACGTCAAGTCACGTGACATCCATTTTCCCGCCAAATTTAGCGTGGAAACTGAATTGGTGCATAGGTCACGTGACGTCCATCTTCCCGACAAATTTAGTGGAGAAACTGAATTGGTGCATAGGTCACATGACGTCCATTTTCCCGACAAATTTAATGGGGAAACTGAATTGGTGCATAGGTCACATGACGTCAATTTTCCCGACAAATTTGGTGGAGAAACTGAATTGGTGCATAGGTCACATGACGTCCATTTTCCCGACGCATTTAATGGGGAAACTGAATTGGTGCATAGGTCACATGACGTCAATTTTCCCGACAAATTTAGTGGAAAAACTGAATTGGTGCATAGGTCACATGACGTCCATTTTCCCGACAAATTTAATGGGGAAACTGAATTGGTGCATAGGTCACATGACGTCAATTTTCCCGACAAATTTAGTGGAGAAACTGAATTGGTGCATAGGTCACATGACGTCCATTTTCCCGACAAATTTAATGGAGAAACTGAATTGGTGCATAGGTCACATGACGTCCATTTTCCCGACAAATTTAGTGGAGAAACTGAATTGGTTCATAGGTCACGTGACATCCATTTTCCCGCGAAATTTAGCGTGGAAAGTGATTTGGTGCATAGGTCACGTGGCGTCCATTTTCCTGTCAAATTTATTGGGGAAACTGAATTGGTGCATAGGTCACATGACGTCAATTTTCCCAACAAATTTAGTAGAAAAACTGAATTGGTTCATTGGTCACATGACATCCATTTTCCCGTCAAATTTATTGGGGAAACTGAATTGGTGCAAGGTCACGTGACGTCAATTTTCCCGACAAATTTAGTGGAGAAACTGAATTGGTTCATAGGTCACGTGACATCCATTTTCCCGCGAAATTTAGCGTGAAAAGTGAATTGGTGCATAGGTCATGTGGCGTCCATTTTTCTGTCAAATTTATTGGGGAAACTGAATTGGTGCATAGGTCACATGACGTCAATTTTCCCAACAAATTTAGTAGAGAAACTGAATTGGTTCATAGGTCACGTGACATCCATTTTCCCGCGAAATTTAGCGTGGAAAGTGAATTGGTGCATAGGTCACGTGGCGTCCATTTTCCTGTCAAATTTATTGGGGAAACTGAATTGGTGCATAGGTCACATGACGTCAATTTTCCCAACAAATTTAGTAGAGAAACTGAATTGGTTCATTGGTCACGTGACATCCATTTTCCCGTCAAATTTATTGGGGAAACTGAATTGGTGCATAGGTCACATGAC